TCCCATTTCAGGTGTTAGTATTGTGTGGGAGGTGGAACTGAGGTCCAATCCTGCACTTCCTGGGGTTGCTCTACTAAGTTTTGAAATGGATTGCTGTTGCTGGCTGGAACAAAGCTGACTGCCCCATATGCTTGTTTCGGGGCCTGAGGCTGGCCCCTCATCCCGTTTCCCTGCCTGGGGGTAAAGGATTTCCTTGACTGTCAGTTTTAGATTTACATTCGTTTGCCCAGTGCCTTCCTCTTTTACACCTTGGGCAAAGGCCTGGGATTTTTGCTTCTGGACTCTTATTTTGGTTTTCACAGCAATCTTTTGCAAAGTGTCCCCTTTTACCGCATCTAAAACATCCCCCTTTATCTTTACCTTTGTTAATGAGGAAATCTCTTACTGTTTGGCCGCTAAAAGCGGCGGCCATTGCTAGGCCTTGTTGATATGAGGCCCAATATCTGAACAAAGGCGAATGTATCCTGTTAAATCTGTTTTCTTTCGATAAGGTCTGATTGCCGCTTGGCAGGCGGGGTTAGCATTTTCATAAGCTAACTGTTTAACATAATCTACACCCGTTTCTGCATTTCCAAAGATTCTACCTGCCGTGGTCATAAGTCTATGCACAAAGTCTGAAAATGGCTCATCGGGTCCTTGTTTAACCGCTGTGAGCGAGGCCCCTGGATCTCCTTTAACGGGAAGTTTTCTCCAGGCCTTTGTAGCAGCAGCCTGGATTTGTGAGAACAGTCCAGGGTCATATTGCATTTGGGCCTGAGTGTCTGCATAATTACCTGAACCAGTTAACATATCAAAATCCCAACCGTTTCCTGCCTGTTGATTTCTTTTAGCTGTATCTCTATAATTTTCAAAGAACTCTGACTTCCAAATTAAGTGGTCTCCCCCAGAAAGAACTGCCCTGACTAAGGTATTCCAGTCTGTAGGAGTGAGCCAATTCTCAGCTACAGATTCCACTATAGCAAGAGTATATGGAGCAGTAGCCCCATACTGAGAGGCAGCAGTCTTTAACTCTTTTATAATAGTAAAATCAAATCCAGTATGATGCCTCCAAGCCTGTCCCTGTTCATCTATGGTTTCAGTGACCGGAAAAACGTCTTTGGGGGAGGAGTCTTCTCTATGTCGGCTAGCAACTAACCCCCCTCTTGGAACATGTCCAGGCCGCTGAAGTGGGCGCAAGGAACCCTCCATAGCATCTGAGTTAGGTATTTTTTCATTTCCTGTTTTTAGCTTTTGGAGCCTAATTATCAATGATTGATGTAACTCTTCAAGTTTAATCTGTTCTTCTAGTTGAGCAATTTTTTGCTTTAATTCTTCTTTGGGATCTATTGCTGCCATAACAATGGGCGCAGAAGCCTCATTATGTGTCTTATTATATGGGGGTGGGTATGAAGAACAGGGAGGCAAATCAGGGTTGTGATATTTAGCCGCCTCTTCCTCAAAATCATCCCAATTTATATCTGATTGATTAGGCTTATTAATTTCCTCCTCCTTCTGAAGCATCTGTAAAATTGGGTATTTTTTTGGTTTGTTTTCGTGTGGTATTTCTTTATCTGTTACAGAAGGAGACTTGATTTCCTCATGATCACTTTCGAGGGAAATGAGATCTTCCTCCGTATCTTGCGGAGGCTCTGTGAGGTTAGAGCGGGAGCTAACCTTTAAAATATGCTCTGTCTGAGCGACCGCAGCCATGACTTGCGGATTGGCCTCCTTCTTATCTATTAAATCTCTAATGAGGTTCCAATAAGAGAAGGCGGTTACAGGAATTTTTTCTGGCCCAAAAGTATTATAATAGTCCTGAAAACAATCCCCTACTCTACGCCATCTTTTAATATCAATAGTTCCTTCCTGTGGGAACCAAGGGCAAGTGTCTTTTACAAAATCAAAAAATTTAAACAAATCATTACCTTTAACCTTTACTCCTCGTATCTTTAAAGCCTCTTTTAATTGTCCTACATATATTTGATGTTGGCTTAATTCTTGTCCCATTTCGGAAGCGTCACTTACCTTCGATTCTGACGCGGCAGGTTCCCGCGGTGATTGGAAGAGTTTGACTCCTTTTGTCTTCGTTAGCGGTCGACCGTCCTTTGGCGTCCTCTTCCTCACGGAGTCCCTCGTTTCCAGGTCCCTGTTCGGGCGCCACGTATCCTGGCCCGCGGGATAGTCAGTGTAGGCCCTGGAGGAGGGGGTGGGAATTTGGGGAACAAGAGACACGAGAAATGGAGACAAGACAGTGCTCTGATCAAGTCTCATTTAATGGTGGTAATGCAATGCCTTATATACATTTGGAGGGGAAGGGGTTGGGCTAAGGCGGAAATGACCTCATTGCGGAAGGCGTGGCCAGATAGGCTTCGGTTTCTCCGGTCGGACATCATGTTGTCCCTGTGCTGTCAGGTAGTCTTTTCGCAGGCGCGGGAAAAATGAATGAAGAAGAAGCAGGAAGAACGCCATCTTTTAATGGTGGTACTAATACAGGGAAGAAGGTAAATCTAGGGAGAAGGTGTGGGGTGGAAATAAATATAGCTCAGGCGTTTAATCTTTAATTATTATTCGCTATGGCCGGGGCGTGCAGCTCTGGACAAAGGGAAGCTTGCTTTTAATTAGTAATTAAATCTCTTTACTTATTGTAATTCTATTCAGACTTTGTATTTCTTTTTGACTTAGTTTCATTAGCGTCTTTCTAGGAATTTGTTCATTTCATTTAGGTTATCTAATCTGTTGGCATTCACTTGTTCATAATATTCCCTCATGATCCTTTATGTTCCTGTAAGGTCAGTAGGAATGTCTCTTCTTTCATTTTTGATTCAAGTAATTTGAGTCTTTTCTTATTGTTGATCAGTCTGAAGTTTTGTCAATTTGTTAATTACCTTAGTCCATTTTCTGTTACTATACAAAATACCACAGAATGGTTAATTTATAACAAAAGAAATTTATGTCTTGTAGGTGTGGAGGCTGGGAAGTTTAAGAGCATCGCACTGCATCTGATCAGGGTCTTCTTGTTGCTTCATAACATGGCAAGAGGGCAAGAACATGTCAGCTTAGGTCTCTCTGGTCTTATAAACCCATCAGTCCCATCATGGGGGCCCCATCCTGATGACCTTATCTAATCCTAATTACTTTCCAAAGGCCTCACCTCCAATCGACATAGGAATTTGAGGAACACAGTCAAACCATAGCATTGATTTTTTTAAAAATGATCAACTTTTGTTATTATTTTCTCTATTGTTTTTCTATTCTCTGTTTAATTACTGTTCAACTCTTTATTGTGTCCTTACTTTGGCTTGTTTTGTGTTTAGATTGATCTTCTTTTTGTAGTTTAAGGTGGAAAGTCAGGTTGATTTGAGACTTTTTTCCTTAACATAGATTTCCCACTGTGCACTGCTTTGGTTGCATCTCATGTTTTGCAATGTTGTTTTAATTCTTCTCAAGATGTTTTCTAATTTCCACTGAGATTTCTTCTTTGACCCACTTGTTATTCAAGAGTACATTGTTTAATTTCCACATAATTGTGAATTTCTAAGCTTCATTATTGAATTCTAATTTTATTCTATTGTGCTTGGAAAACATACTTTGTACGATTCAACCTTTTACATTTCAGATTTGTTTTATGGTCTTTCATATGGTCCATCCTAAAAAATGTTCCATGTGCTTTAGAAAAATGTCTATTCCTTTCTTATTAAGTGGAATGCTTAATAGATGTCTTTTAGGTTTAGGTGGTTTAAGTGTTGTTCAAGTCTTCTGTTTTCTTGTTGACATTTTGCCTAGTTGCTCTATCCATTATTGAAAGTTATGTTATCCATTATATAAAGGATATATTGAAGTCTCCAACTATTCTTGTTTTATTGTATATTTCTTCTTTCAACTGTGTTAGTTTTTGCTTCATGAATTGTGCAGCTTTGTTGTTAGGTACATATATGTTTATAATTGTGATATTTTCCTGGTAGATTGGCCTTTTCTGTCATTATAAAATGTTTATTTCTAGCAATTTTCTTTTGTTTTAAAGTCTGTTTATCTGGTATTAGTAAAGTCAGTTTTCTTATATCTACTGTTTGCATAATATGCAAAACAGGAAAAAAATGCCTGGGATATATCATGCATATATATGATATACATGAGCTGAATAATTCATAATGTATATTTAAATTAATTATAAATGCAGGCATCCTACATATCCTGTTCGCTTTGCTGTTGAGGTATAAAATAGAACAATCTTACTGGTTCTAAGACTCAAACACAACTATTTCCTGCCTAAATATTTAATGAAAGAGTCATAATATATGCAAATATTTAACTACAAACACCTTATTAATAGCCCCAAACTGAAATATATCTAAATGTTTAATAATTGGGTATTAAATTATAAGACATCTATATATTGGAATATTAGAAAGCCCTTAATAATGTTGTGGAAGATTCTTCAATGACATGGAAAGATAGTCATGATATAGTCAATGAAAAAAGTAGGTTACAAATAGTATGTACGGTATAACTCCATTGTTATTAAAATATATATTATATATATGCAAAGAAAAATTACCCAAAGGTTAATGATTATCTCTGAATTTCAGCATTATGGGGGTTTTACTTTGTGCTTCCCCTCTCCCCTTGGATTTTTTATAATATGCATGTCTTTTTTTTAGCTAAGAAAAAAGAACAGTAAGTTAATTTTAAAGATCAAAATGTAATTTATGCCTATTAATTTGGCAAAGATTATTTAAAAAGACAATACACAGCATTGGTAAAGATTTGGGAGTAAGTGGGCATGCAAAAAATGTATGCTTCTAATGTTAGTATAAATAGCTACTAGTAGCTTCATTATAAACCTGGCAACATAAGCTGAAATCCTTAAAAACAGAGAAGTATTTTCAGTTCTAGGAATTAAGCAAATTATTTAGGGATGGATGCAAAAATGTCTACATAAACCCAAATGTCCATTTTAAAGTAATGATTAAATAAATTACATCTGTATGATTTAATACTGTGTATTAAAAATTACATTGCAGGATTCTTATTCGACATAGGTCAGTATGTTAAAGGCAGTGCACCAAGTTTTTTTTCCTTCTTTTTCAAAGCCTACAGCAGGTAGAAATTATGTAGCATGAAACATTGAGTTAATATGTAAAAGCTATCAGTTTCCTAGGGCTGCCCTGACAAATTACCACAAACTAGGTGACTTAAAACAACGGAAATTTATTCTTACAGTTCAGGTTAGAAACCAAATCAAGGTGTTGGCAAGATTGGTTCTTTCTGGAAGCTATGGAGAATGCTTCTTACCTCTCTCCTAGCTTCCGGTGGTTGCTGGCAATCCTTGGTGTTCCCTAGTTGTAGGAACATCCCTCTGGTCTCCTTTATCACAAAGCTGCCTTCCCAGTGTTTCTGAGTATCTTCTGCTCTTCTAAGGACACTAGTCATTGGATTTAGGGCCCACCCTAATCCCGCATGACTACAACTAATTACATTTGCCAAGACCCGATTTCCAAAGTAAGGCCACATTCTGAGGTTCTAGGTTGACATTAGTTTCTAAATGACACTACTCAACCCACTACATGTAAATAACATAGATATACAGAAGATTGAATATATTACTGACAATGTTTATCTCTGGGTAGTTTTAGTTTATGGATGATTTAAATATTTTTGTGCTTTTCTGAATTTTAAAATAAATAACTTATGTAGAGATTAAGTTCTAAGTTTCTTGTATAAAGTGAATATTATGTGTAGTCAAAAATCATACTTGGCTGGGTGTGGTGGCTCATGCCTGTAATCCCAGCACTTTGGGAGGCCGAGATGGGTGGACTGCTTGAGCCCAGGAGTTTGAGATCAGCCTGGGGAACATGGCAAAACCCCATCTCTACAAAAAATAGAAAAATTAGCTGGCTGTGGTGATGCATGCTGTATTCTCAGCTACTCAGGAGGCTGAGGTGGGAGGATTGCTTGAGACCAACAGGTCAAGGATGCAGTGGGCTGTGATCGCACCACTGCACTCCACCCTAGGTGAGGCAGAGCAAGACCGTGTCTTTAAAAAAAAAAAAAAAACCACTCCTTTCTCTCACATAGCTCACAAAACACAGAATACATCATTTTATACATTGTATCTCTTCTCAAAAACGTCCAACATAGGCAATTCTTCCTCCAACACTGGAACAGACTACTGTTCCTCTGGGTGAGTACTAGTATGAAGCAGTTGGTTTGTGTTTATGTGTTATGTTGTACAAAAATGAAGAAAAGGTTTTCTAAACATTAAAGTGTAGTTGAATGTGTTCAGGTTAAATAAGTATGAGACTCCACTGTTTTAGTTTTGTAAATAAGAGGAAAAACTATTTTCTTTAATGTTTACAAAGGACACTACCAACAATGGCAATGAGTTAGGAAACACTCTTAAGACTAAGGGAAAAAAATAATTATTGATTTCCAAAATGGACTTCTTTAAAGAGGTGAGGTGTATCTCTGAGTATTTCTGAATTTTTTAAAAGTCCAAAAACTTAAGAAAATTATACTTAATGTTCAGCATGAGGTTGAGATTGGGCTGCAAAATTGAGGTTTAATCATTTGAATGCCCAAGAAGCAGCTTTTTCTTTTTTTGCAACCACCAATATCAATAATGAACAATATTAATAAAATTAAATCAAAATGAAAAATTGACAGCATTTAAGATACTGTGGATAAAATTATAGCCAATTTTTGTTTTAAAAATTCTTCCAAGGTACATTTTCCTTTTAAAGATTTACAACTATGGTGTCTTTCATAACTGGAATAAGATAAATTCTATATAAAATTCAATTTTAAAAAGTATTCTCATGTACAGAGGCTGACATCATGGGTAGTCAAAGAATATGTTTAATAAAAAATAATTAAACTTCCATTTGCTCTATAGAACATCATAGAAAGTAATTTAATAAATTACAAATGACGTTTTAAGACGTTTGCTCAACTACAGAAAGCAAATTTAGACTACACAAAACACAACTGGTAAATATTGCAAATGTCCAAAAGAAAGATTGGACTAAGACTTGAATCATAAAACCTGAAACAAGGTCTATAAATACAAGGCAATAACAGCTATAATTCCTTTAGTAACTACCAACACATACTTGGATATCCTTTCAACTGCAACTTTAGTATTATGTAATTCTACTGATTTTTTTTTTTTCCTTATAACCCTTAACTTTACACAACCATATTTGCATGTGTTTTCTTAGCTGATAGCTGGACAACTTTTCCCCAATGAATATTAAATAGAAGTGTCTTGAAACCTAAGAGAATGTTTAAAGTTATGTTAGACTTAATGCTTTGAAAACTGTAATTGCCTTATTACATAGAAAGAGAATCACTAGGATGTTAACCAAATTTATTTGACCATAATTAGGAAAATACTTTCTCTCATAAATTTGATATAAATTAGATTTTAGTGACAAGATCTAGAGATTTTTTTTTCCTTTTTTTTTTTTTTTTTTTTTAATTGGGGAAAGGAAGGAATAAAGATCATGTGGGTAGAATTAGAGGGAGGAAGAGAAATGTGGTTGGTGTTGAAATACTCCACCGGCAAACTAAGTTAACTGTGTTTGAAAAACTTTGGCTATCTCATAGGTGTATTCTAGTTAAACAAAAGTGCAATACTGCAAAGGGAAGATACTAAATATGTAATATATCATTTTCATGATGAAGAATTACTACCCACTTCTCCTGGATGGGCATTATAGAGACTATTGCTAAGACATTGCATAAAGGACTATCAATTCAAAGTACTATTTTGGGAAAATACAAAATCAATACAATCCCAATGGAACTTATATAATTTTGTAAATACATATAACACTGTCTCTCTAATAAGGGGTTATTTTACATACAGAAACATAATTTACTGGTAAAGGTCTTGGAAAACCTGATACAATTGCTTAACTCATGACAAAGCAACAGTTCTATCAAAACATACTGAAAGTATTTTTTCTGCAGGAGAGAACTGGGATACTTTTTCCCCCTAAATTTACGCCCTTGCAGACTTTACCACTAACTTATTTGAGTACCAGAAAAATGCTAACATATATCTCTCCTTAGAATGTCAATATTTTTATGTCCAATTCAGTACTAATTGTTTTAAATATGTATGATATATGAAGGTGAACCTGGACCTCTACCTTGTCAGAATAATAGCAGCTTTAGCAGGAGAAATTGTATCACAAATCAAATATCAGACAAATTTTACATGGTAAAGGATTCTATGAAATTGAACAGAAGCCTTGGGCTTCACTTTTGTGGTTTGTAGGTATAACTTGTACATCTTTTTGAGATTATTCAAAGTGCATTTTCAAAATGGGCAACTCAGTATATTTAATATAAACTGATAACCCAACACTGATTCTGGGCAACATTTAGTCTGCTTACACCTAGAAACTCAAAATGAATTTAGACTATCTGCATATTACTTTACCACTATTATCTGTTAATTCTGGAATATTTCCATGACATAAAACACAAATAGAAATCTACACAAAGAAAGCAAACAAACAATTTCTTTTACATGAAGTATGCTGTGTTGAAAGTTCTTTTCAGTGGCATTTCATGAGTTTGCCTTTTGTGAACCCTGGAAACAGACATTACTCATCTGAGACATGATTATTTCTAATAGGAGGCCAAAACTTTGAAAAGTTAAAACTAAGTATGTCTATAGGGTGCCAAAGTCACATGACACGATTATTTTATGACTTAATTTTACTGATATCTGAATTAAGCTCAGCAAAAAGCAAGTCATATTTCTTGCCAGATTAACATGATATATAGGATGTGTTTAAAAAACCCCTGAAAACAAGTATAGAATTAGAAACGAATGTAAACTTCCTAAACTAACTCAGCTGAGGTAACAGGTAGCCAGTTAAATTGGCTGATTGGGAAACTTATTTCTTCTTTAAAACATACTTGTACCTGAATTGGAAACATCAGCAGTGCATCACAACACTAGAGCATTTTCATGTAATTAAAGCAATGGATGGTGATGTAGATTCTACAGCTTTCATGACATTCATTAGCTGCCCAAATTATTGCTGAGTTTTGATCTGTAAATTATAGGTGTCAAGGAGGCTGTAAAACTATATTCAAATTAAATCAGTAATATGCATAAAGTATTCTGTGTTCACTGCAAATATATTAAATATACAACTCTTATTGAGCATAATTTTCATAAAATTAACCCCCAACAAAATTATAATGCCTTTTGTTGTAATTTTACACCTTTATGTATTTGATAGTACATACGAGTTCAGAAACTTATGAATCTTAAGAAATATTACATGCAAAATGTCTCTGAAAGCAGTTTGCACTTCTAAACAAATAACTGAAATGTTCGGTCAGTAAGTTATTGATGCACTCAACACTGGGGTATTTACAATTAACTATTAAAGAAAAAATCCAAAATCAGTTCATATTTTAAGTGCAGAGTCTGGGAATCAGTCTTCATTACTAGAATCTGAATCCTCAGATGACGATGATGTACTATCAGATCCAGATGAAGCATCAGCTTTCTCTGAACCCTCATCTGTGCTGTTTTCATTGAGAGGACTTGGTTCAGTTCCTCCTTTGTCTTCCTGATCTTTAATTCTGGAATCTTCTTCCTTTACTTCTACAGACTTAGACGAGCCTAAGTCACTGTTTTTGTTTTTGTTTTGTACATCAAAAGTATTGGACTGGGACAAAGTTGGAATATGAAGATTAAGGCCTGGAGTGAGAAGCATCCCTGGATAAAGTATATTAGATAGTAATAGTGGGTTAAGAGCTAATGGGTTGGCAGCTGCAGCTGTATTTAATGCAGCAGTAGAGGACGTGGAAGGAGAACTTGACACAGAGTTTTCTCCACCATTCTCTGAACTTTGGCTCTCTGTCCTTTCTTTTTTTCCTTCTGACTCCTTAGAGTCACTTCCCTTTTTGTCTTCTGTCCCAGATTCTGTAGGCTTTGTCAGGAGTCCTCCCATGCCCAATAGATTTGGTAATCCAGCCATTCCTGACAGCAGCATGGGGAACATAGCAGCCATGTTTTTAGCTTCTCCTCCAGAAGAAAGGCCAGTAGGCATTCCCATCAACCCTGCAGTTACTTGCAGTGACTGCAAGTTTTGTAGGTTTTGTTGTAAGGCCTGAAGAGTTGTGAGATCCACACCTGGAAGTAATCCATTGGCTAACAAAGGATTGCCTGAAACACTGGTGGCAGATGCAGCAGCTGCTGCTGCTGCTGTGGCCTTTGCAATTCCACTTTTAGGCCGTCTCCCCCGCCTGCTTACTTCCTCTCTCACCACGGGACCAGTGAGAATACGTTCATACATGCTTTCTGGAAGAAATCCCTGGAAGAAATATATATTCATTAATAATCCCTACATGAGAATAAAATAAAGAGCTATTAGCTTATCATACAAATAACCATGAAAAATAGGCAATTATTTGTAAATTTATTCTGTACTGATATTAAATAATCAATTATAATAGCAATAACCTAATTCTATATAAGTGGTAGCTTCAAACAGCTCTTTCACTTTTCATTTTATCACAGAATAAGTGACTAAAGAGGTCTTTAGCCTTCCTCCATCCTGTAAAACATAAGATTGTAGTATAATTCTAGAAAATATAAGGTTCAAAAAAATTGTTTCATGGGTACTTCCATAACCCTTACATGTTTCACATCATCATTTGTTCTAGAAGACCAAAGAAGTGGCTCCCTTCTAATTGGAAAGAACAATAAAGAAGGAATAGACGAAGTGAAAGGTTAAAGTAAGATGCTTCATATGAATTATTTTGCTGCCACTTTGGGAATAAAGGAGATAGGGCCATGCTCAAAAGGATACTCAAAGGGGGTAAGATCACCTGCAGTAGCACTTGCAGATTGGGAACCATAAAGTCCAGGACAACAGAGAACAATCTATGCTACTTTCATGTAATTCTCCCATGATTTTCTGGGTCCCAGAACTCTTAGAAGTTTTAGGAGTTTAGAATGCCTGGACCAGCACTATCTAATAGAAATATAATGTAAGCCACATAGGTAACTTAAAATTTTATAGGAGCCACATTTAAAATACGTAAAATAGAAATAGGTGACATTAATTTTAGTAACACAGTCTAATAGAACATAATCCAAATATTGTCACTTCAATATGTAATCTATAAAAATTGAGATACTTTACATTCTTTTTTTCCAACAAAGTCTTCAAAATCCAAAACCACTGTGTATTTTACAGTTAATTCACATTTCAAGTGCTCAACAGCCACATGTGCCTATTTGTGGCTACTGAGGGGCTACTGTTTGTGACAGTGCAGTTCTAGATAGTGGTTTAAGACAAGACTCATTTGACTATTGTTTAATTTTGTTTTGAATTGAACCAACTTATTTTTTCTCTTTACAAAGGCATCAGGGTTCATTGCAGAAAACACAACAACAACAAAAAAATCATCCATCAACTCATCATTCAGAGATAACCATGGCTAACATTTCAGTATGTGTTCTATTTTTTCCTTGTGCAATTATACACATTCTATAATTCCCCCCACCTCCCTTTCTGAAACAAAAAAAGTAGAATCACACCGAACTTAGTTTTATAGCCTGCCCTTTCCATTTGGACAGCTGTAAGAATAATATCTATTAATTATTGACCATTAGCATATGTGTAGGCTATACTATCCCAAGAGCTTAAATACTGCTGCTTTTAATATACTGTGAACTTTTACTCCTTTTAGATGTTCTTCTAAGATCTAATTTATTTTATTTATTTTTTTTTGAGATGGAGTCTTGTCTCTGTTGCCCAAGCTGGAATGCAGTGGTGCGATATTGGCTCACTGCAACCTCTGTCTCCCGGGTTCAAGTGATTGTCCTGCCTCAGCCTCAGGTGGGACTACAGGTGCACAACACCATGCCTGGCTAATTTTTGTATTTTTAGTAGAGACGGGGTTTCTCTGATTTGGCCAGCTGGTCTTGAACTCCTGACCTCAGGTGATCCACCCGCCTTGGCCTCCCAAAGTGCTGGAATTACAGGGGTGAGCCACTGTACTAGGCCTAAGATATAATTTTTAAAATAGTTGCCTAGGCTGGGAATGGTGGCTCAGGCCTGTAATCCTAGCACTGTGGGAGGCTGAGGTGGGTGGATCACTTGAGGCCAGGGGTTCAAGACCAGCCTGGCCAATATGGCGAAATATCATCTCTACTAAAAATACAAAAATTAGCCAGGTGTGTTGGTGGCACCTGTTGTCCCAGTTACTTGGGAGGCTGAGGTATAAGAATCACTTGAACCCAGAAGGCAAAGGTTGAAGTGAGCCAAGATTGCGCCACTGCACTCCAGCCTGGGCAACAGAGAGAGATCCTGTCTAAAAAAAAAAAAAAAAAAAATTGCACAGTTTTCCAGAATCTTAATGAACTATTAGTTTATTCTCAATTATCCTTACATATTTGCTCATATATTTGATTACTCTTTGTGGCATCATTCAAATGGTATCTTAGAGGTTAATGTAAAAACAAATAATTATTTATTGATTCTCTGTTCTAACCTGAGAAGCATCTGAGAAATTTGCAACATGTACTGCAAAATAAAAATTGAGAACTGAAAAATGTTGTCACAAGTTCATGGAATATTTTATTAATTACAATTAATCTAAGATATAATTGAATGGTACCTAATTTGAAAATAATGTATAAGTTAGTATTCATAAAATACTCACAGATTGCTTAACAACATCTCCCCATTCAGGAGCTACTCCATATTCTGAATTTTCTTTTAGGAATCTACATAAATCTTTCAAAGGGGGAGCAAATGCACCTCCAACCTGTAAATTAGAAACAGATTGTTAAATACTAAAACACTATTACACAGAAAACTCTTGCTTGCTTTTATTCTATGCTCTAGAGTTTATTTCCTTAAAATACATATTTTTTGAACCACCTTAGATAATCTTTATGATTATATTAAAAAGGGCCACCACGACCCATATGGACTACTGATGTAATATATAAATATGTGATAATGTAAATTTTAAATGTTTTAAGTAGAATAACTAGAACAGTAAAATGAATAACTACCATGCTAGACAGGCAATATAGCCTAGTTAAAAGTACACCCTCTAGAGTTAGACTTACCAGCTATGTGAACTTGAGCAAATCAGTAAATCTCTTTCAGCCTCAATTTTCTGATCTGTAAAATGGGGATAACAATAATACTTCCCTCATAGGGTTTTATAAAGATAAAATGAGACAATTCAAGTGCCTTAGCATAATGCCTGTCACATAATAAATATGTTATTATATGCCAAGTATTGTGCTAAGTACTTTAAATGTGTAATTTATTTTAGTTCTCACTACCTCCTTTGGAGATAGTATTATTTCTGTTTTTCAAATGAAGGAACTGAGCTTCAGAGAATTTATATAACTTGCCTAAAGTTAGCTAGTACAAGTTAGAGCCAGGATACAAACCTAGGTCTCAAAAACCAATACTGTTATCGATTATATATATATTGATACCCTAAAAGTATAAAATTATACATATCTTTCATATGTGAAGTATGATATAATTAACCAATCATAAGTAAATAATTTGGAAAAAATGTAATGACACTGAGACAAAATAGTATTCTGAAATTTAAATTAAAAACATCACATTTGGAGAAATGATTTTTACCTACCAATTTAATGTCCCTTTAGAGACTAAAGACATTTCTTGAATAATTTCTTCTTCTATACCACTTTGAATGATTAAATACTGTATCTTGATAGGATACAGACAGGGTTTAATATGATCAGTTATATTACCTACAAGTATTTTTTTGTTTTTTGAGACAGAGTCTTACTCTGTCGCTCAGGCTGGAGTGCAGTGGCATGATCTCGGCTCACTGCAACCTCCACCTTTCAAGTTCAAGCAATTATCCTGCCTCAGCCTCCTGAGTAGCTGGGATTATAGGTGCCCACCACCATGCCTGGCTAATTTTTGTATTTTTAGTAGAGATGGGGTTTCACCATGTTGGACCAGGCTGGTCTTGAACTCCTGACCTCAGGTGATCCACCCACCTTGGCCTTCCAAAGTGCTGTCATTACAGGCCCGAGCACTGCACCCGCCATAAGTATTCTTATATGGTATTTCTTTCTTCTTTTTTTTTAAAGAGACTCACTCACTCACTTTTTTTAAGGTCTCACTCTGTTGCCCAGGCTGGAATGCAGTGGCGTGATCATAGTTCACTGCAGCCTTGAGCTCCTGGGCTCAAGCAATCATCCCTCCTGAGCTTCCTACGGCTGGGACCACAGGTGTGTACCACCACACCCCCAGCTCCTTATATTTATTTATATATTTAAATAAGTATATTTAAATAAGTACATTTAAGGAAATAAGTATATTTACTTAGTCTCTGTAATTCTGTTGTCTTCTCTTTTTTATTATCTCCTTCATTAAGCTTCTACTGAAAATGGAGGCCCTCTTGGGGGTTTATGGGGATTTAGCAGGTAGATTCTTTTCCTTAATAACTCATCAATCCTTAAGCCTGTACCCGAGAGACTCAAGACAATTAGGAACTCTACAAATTAAGGAACATGAACAAACCTCTCATGAAATTACAACAATTAAAAATAAAATTTAGAATGTTTAATATCAAACCTAACAAGTAAAAATTCAAATTGTTTCATTTCCTTAAAATTGGCTAGCCAAACTCATTCATAATATTTAGCAATGTGAATTTTTGGTATAAGATGAAGTAGAAGGATTTGTAACAAAATCTACACAAGCACAAAATTAGGTAACATGCTACTGAAATGTCACCTTGTTCTTTACTTAAGACATGTATGCTATACTTTAAAATACTAACAAAAGCTGAATACGCTATCTCTACGAAATTGTGGAAAAAATTAACATTAACTTTAAAGAGTTGGTGTACCCAACAATATTAAAACTGTTATTTTAAAATAGTTTTCTTCTAATTCCAATATTTCTTATGAGAAATTCAAATTTTTTGGGTATTTTTATCCTAGCAGTGAGTGCATTTAACAGACGGTAAATCAGAACCAGACCTGTGTAAGGTAATTTAGTGTATGAGAAAAATAACGCAATGAGAAATGTGATGTTCTTACACTGACGCCATTTTTTCTTTCCTATTTGTTGCTTGCTCATCGGAATAAAAAAAGTGTGTCAAAGCTATACATATACAAAACGTGTCACAAGTTTCTATTGTTTATTTTGTGAGGTAAAAGAGAAATATATTAATCCAAACATAAAACAAGAAATCTATGTAAGTCTATTTCTGAAAAATCTCCACTCTATCATTCATCATTCAGTAAAAGATAAGCCACAAAGGTGGCATTAGTCTACAAGGTACCTTTAAGATACTCTGTTTTCATCAATCAGAAATTATGTAATATGCTGATTTTGATAGAAAAAGACACGTTAAGGTCATGTGACAGAAAACTGCAGTGATAAATAAATAAATGTATGACGGCTATGTGAATGGTGTCTTCTTAGATGAGAATTTCTCAACTTTTACAGTACAGACATTGTGAATTAGTATTGTGGGGGTTGTCCTATGTACTGTAGGAGGTTTAGCAGCATCTCTGGCTTCTACCCACTAGATACCAGTAGTATCCTCTCCTTGTGGTTACCAAAGATGTCTCCAGACACTGCCAAATATTCCTTGAGAGGTGAAACTACCCCTGGTAAGAATGACTGCTTTTGATGTAGTACCCTTGTATGAGTGTAAAACTATATGCAATGGCACTGCTTAGGCACAGATGTGTTAAATGACTTGCTTATTTCATGTAATAGCTTAGCTAATGAAGTGAGATTTGAAATTAGACTGCATAAAATCATACTGCATGTCTTCCCTCAGAATCTGAGATTCAACTCATTTCCAGGTCTGTTAGAAAACACTACTGAATAATGAAATAGTGTTCTGGAGATCTCTTAAATATTGAATCAATAAAAAACATTAAGAAAAAAACATTAAAATACCTTTCTAGCATTTCTTCTGTTAATCAGTTGAACACGTTCTTCTCCAGTGAGACTATTCACATCAAGTTTATTGGGGTTTCTGCAACGGTGTCTTTTTTGTTTGGGCCTTCCCTCATGAAGCTGCATTCTCTAAAATATATAGATAAAGACATATCTTTAAAGTCTTTAACTGTGCAAAACAATTCAAGATATTAAAATGAGCTGATCCGAGTAATTTAATAGCATTTACCTTTTGGTTATTTACATTTTAAAAATATCTAAACTTTTTTATTTAATTTTTTTGAGACAGGGTCTTGCTCTGTTGCCCAGGCTGGAGAATAGTGGTGTGATCACAGCTCACTGTAGCCTTGACATCCCAGGCTCAAGTGATCCTCCCACCTCAGTCTCTCAAGTCGCTGGGACCGCAGGTGTTTGCCACCATGCCTGGCTAATTTTTTTTATTTTTTGTAGAGATGAAAATTTTGCCACGTTGCCCAGGCTGATCTTGAACTCCTGGGCTCAAGCTATCCTCCTGTCCTGGACTCCCAAAGTGCTGGGATTACAGATGTGAGCCACCGTGCCTGGCCAAACATTATTTTAATAAAAAGTATCACATCAATCTTTTCTTCAAATTATACGTTAAAAAAGTTAAGCCTGGGCAATATGCCGAGACCCTGTCTCTACAAAAAATCAAAAAATTAGCTGGCCATGGTGGTGTATGCCTACAGTCCCAAGTATTTGTGGGGGCTGAGATGGGAGGACTGCTTGGGCATGGGAGGTTAAGGCTACAATGAGCCATGAATGTGCCACTGCACTCCAGCCTGGGCACAAAGTGAGGCCCTGTCTCAAAACAAAAACAAACAAAAACCCAACAACTCATATCTAGCAATAAAAATAAAAACTCATCCCATCAAACCATGCTACTTCTCTATATAACTATTAACAAAACAGGGCTTAATGTTTGCAGGTATTTCCAGCCAATTAAAAATATTTTCAGGAAACCAACGCTCGAATTCTTCAGCTTAGCATACCAGTCCCATCATGGCCTGAACCTATTCAATTCACCTCTTCTGTTCATTGTTCATTTACTATTACCCTACTCACTCCTCCACATACTCTGGAATATTAAACTAATCACTGTTTTATGAATATGCCTTACAGTCATATCCTCTTTTCTTTTTTTTTTGAGATGGAGTTTTGCTCTTGGCTCCCGGCAACCTCTGCCTCCCAGTTCAAGAGATTCTCCTGCCTCAGCCTCTCGAGCAGCTGGACTACAGGCACCCGCCACCATGCCCAGCTGATTTTTGTATTTTTAGTAGAGATGGGGTACCATGTTGGCCAGGTTGGTCTTGAACTCCTGACCTCAGGTGATCTGCCCGCCTCAGCCTCGCAAAGTGCTAGGATTACAGGCGTGAGCCACCACACCTGGCCATCTTCTTAGTAATTCTATATTGCCTAGAACATCCTCCTCTTGTGTTAACCTGGTCAATGCCTACTTACTCTTTTTTTCATCCACCAGACGAATATCAGCTCTATTTTCTTTATCTTTCTTCAGAAACTACTCTGCCTAGGCAGAGTTAATTTTTCTTACATCTGTTCCCATGATACTTTATACATACCTTTATTATAGTATACTCTCCACCATGTTGTAATTATTTAGCTACAGAAATATTACAACAGAGTGTGAGATCCAAGAAATCATTAATGTAAGGTGATTTTTACATAGGAAAATGCTTTTCCTTGGGAAAGCCGACAAGTTACATCTTATAATCTTTAGAGGAACAAATGCTGCCCTTAAGAATATGTTTTCAAAGTCTTTACAATAAAGTAATATAAAATATTATGATAAAATATTTGCAGGTAAAATGATGAATGGATATACAAAGTTAAAAAGTTAATAAAGGCCCTTTTGCAGTGATAAAGAGAAAGGTATGGCAATTCTTCAGAGTCTAGAGTATAGGTATAAGGGCAAAGATTTTATATTGTTTACTGCTATATCCTCAATCTTTTAAAATAGTAGTACATTGTAATCACTCAATAAAAAATTGTTAACTGAATAAATAAATGAATGTTATCTTCAACATGTTAAGAAGTTACAGTGTTCAACTCAGGATTCCCATTATTTTTAGAATTGCAATATTTAGCCAGGTGTGGTGGCTCACACCTGTAATCTCAACACTTTGTGAGGTTGAGGTGGGAGGATCGCTTGAGCCAGGAGTTTGAGACCAGCCTGAGCAAGATAGTGAGAGCCTGTCTCTACAAAATAAAAATTGAAAAAATTAACGATGTGGTGGCCTGTGACCAGGCTGTTCTCAAACTCCTGAACTCAAGTGATTTGCCCATTTTGGCCTCCCAAAGTGCTAGGATTACGGCCATGAGCCACCATGCCCAGCCTCATCTTTGATTAACATAAACTCACTGTGCATCTGGAGAGGCATAGAAGATATACTCATAGCTTGAAGAAGAGCTTAAGAGGAGTAGTTTGGACTCTGGATTTAAGAGTTTGTTTGCTGAGTGGACTTGGACAATTTACTTACAACTTTAGTGTTTTAATTTCATTTAAAAAACAGTTATAGGCTGGGTGCAGTGGTTCATGCCTGTGTTCCTAGCACTTTGGGAGGCTGAGGCAGGTGGATTGCTTGAGGCCAGGAGTTTGAGACCAGCCTGGCCAACATGGTGAAACCATGTCTCTACGAAAAATACAAAAGTTAGCTGGGCATGGTGGTGTGCTGGGCATGTGGTCCCAGCTACTCGGGAGACTGAGGTGGGAGAATCACTTGCATCCGGGAGGCAGAGGTTGAAGTGAGCCAAGATCATGTCACTGCACTCCAGCCTGGGTGACAATGCGAGACTCTGTCTCAAAAAAACAAAAAACAGTTATAACAATGCCACATAATCAAGTTACTGTGTTAAATGAAGTAATGCACGTTGTGTGCATAAGTATGTCAGCATAACTGCAGGTACATAGTTAAGTTTCAATACACGTTTACTATAATCATTATTATTTTAAAATAAACTGCTCGAGAAAGGATTGGAAGTTTTGTACCTTAGCAACCTTCACTGGGTCTAACATAGTTCTCTATATTGGAAGTAATTTTTATTATTAAATACTCATTGAATGCAGAATGGAAAAACGGAAAATAACATTGTATTGTATCATGGGAAGGATGGCAATTATTTTTTCCTGCTAATTCTCCTAGGTCTTAGGCAGAGCACATATTTAGCATAAGTGGATGAGAATTTACGCTTCATCATGATAGATCTGACAATTCATAGCAATAAAATATAACAAGAGTTTTAAGGTGTCACCTACAGGAATAAAAGCTCCCAAATCTTCCACATAACCTGGATGCTCCTTAAGCCATTTTTCCAAATCCTTTCTCTTTGGTGCATCATCTCCTGCAAGTCTTGTTCCATCTTTAAGATTAATAACTGGAACTGGACTTTCTGTATCAGAAATTCCTTGAGGCTGAGTATAGGATAGTGCTGGATTTATCCCTGTGGAGATCTGTGAGGAGGTTAAGCCTAAAGAAACCTGTAAAAAAACACCAAATGGAATCTTTATTTCCATACTTTATCATTCTAATACTGGTTCAATAAAGCAATTATTTTTGAAGAGAAAAAATAAGTTGTTGCTAAAAATTCTGCTAAATCTTTTAAACTTAAAATTTTTATCACTCTTGGACAGTGCTAAGATTCTAAGATATCATCTAAAACTATATGGCATACTTCTAATTTCCTTATTAATAGTCTATAAAACATTCACAAAACAACAATATGTATATTTACTAGGATTGAATTTTGAACCCAAGGATCAGTTTTCAAGTACTGCTTTACTTACATGATTAGGTGGTTTACTTCTGTTAAAAAAGAAGATGTCAACACCTTCTACATTCTTCCTCCTTCCTCGCCTTTTTTTGACTATAGGCTGGTTGTCTAATATCACACCATTGGCACCAAGGGTTGGTTGAATGGAAGTACCTAATTGAATTAAAAATGCAAAATGGTGATACAAATTTAGTTCTTAAACAAATTGAAAGTAATCCCTTTCCTAAATATATGTGTTAGTTCTTATTTTATACATCTTTAATGTAGAAACTTTTGGACTAAAAATATCATCCCCACCTCTCATTTAAAAACCTGAAGAATTACAACCTAGGCCTCTTTCCATTTTTGACCAGTCTTCTCTATTTTTTTTCCCGATATTTACACATCTTCTCTTCCTTCCTTGGAGAAGGAAGCATGCCTTTTTCCTAGGGTAACATTTTCCTAAGATAACATTTCCCCTTTCTTTGAACCCATTAGTTCCTATAATTTCAAAAGCTTTTTTTTTTTTTTTAATCATTTGTCTCTGCTTTTTGTGCCAAATATCTTTTTCTACATTATGCTTTTTTTTTTTTTTCTTGAGACAGAGTCTCGCTGTGTTGCCCAGGCTGGAGTGCAGTGGCATGATCTTGGCTCACTGCAAGCTCCGCCTCCCAGGTTCACGCCATTCTTCTGCCTCAGCCTCCCAAGTGAGGCACTGCACCCGGCCAGATTTTTCTAAACTTAAAAATATGGCCTAACTCAAACAAACAAATGTTAAACTTTTGGCCGGGCATAGTGGCTCACGCCTGTAATCCCAGCACTTTGGAAGATCGAGGTGGGTGGATCACCTGAGGTCAGGAGTTCAAGACCAGCTTGGCCAACATGGCAAAACCATGTCTCTACTAAAAATACAAAAATCAGCTGGGTGTGGTGGTGGGCACCTGTAATACAAGCTACTTGGGATGCTGAGGCACAATAATCACTTGAATCCGGGAGGCGGAGGTTGCTGTGAGCCAAGATCACGCCACTGCACTCCAGCCTGGGCAACAGAATGAGACTCTGTCTCAGAAAAAAAAACACTGTCCGTTGTATAACGTCAAAACTTTTAAAAGACTGATCTCTCTTGTGCTCCTTTTTTTCATAAGTAAATAGTTCTTCGATTTCCAGGTTGCTTGGTTCTGCCATCCTCTATTCACTGCTCCAGGTAGTTTCTGGAATGAACTCTTCAGTTTTGTCTTCTTGTTATAATCTATGCTATTTTACTGTCCTTCATTAATGAAATTACATTACATCTGGTATCTTTACTCAAGGCTTTCCAGGGGGTAATTACACAAGAATACAAAAGGCACAGCCTTTGGAAAATGAAGAATTGTAATAATAGCATCTGTTAAACATCTAATTCTAAAACCTATGAGTACCAAATTTTAACATCTGTTTGGCATCCCATTGTGTGCCAAGCTCTTTATTGGCCACTATATATATATTATTTTATTTAATCCATCTAACAATGTCATCTCTCTCATCCCCACACCCTTCATTTCACAAACAGGAAAAGTAAGGCTCAAAAATGTTAACAGATTTCCCAAAAGTAACGTAGGAAGAAAGATCTAGGTTTCATATTTCCAATTATTAAGATGGATGAGATAAAATGCTTAGATAATAACTGTATCTAGGGTGAATACTTGAGGTTTTAAATATTTTGTATAGCCGCAAAAGTCGTGTTACTTTATTATTATTATTATTTTTCTTTGAGATAGGGTCTTGCTCTGTCACCTAGGAGTGCAGTGGCACAACCATGGCTCAGGTATTCCTCCTGAGATCAAGTGATCCTTCCACCTTAGCTTCCCAAGTAGCTGGGACTACAGGGGCATACCACCATACCCAGCTAACTTTTAAATTTTTTTCAGAGATGGGTCTTGCTATGTTGCCAGGATTGGTCTTGAACTCCTGGACTCAAGCAATCCTCCTGCCTCAGCCTCCTCAAGTCCTGGGATTACAGGTGTGAGCCACCACGCTTGGCACAATTACTATTGATATTATTATTATTATTATTATTGTTTTTGAGACAGAGTTTTGCTCTTGTTGCCAAGGCTGGAGTGCAATGGCCCGATCTCGGCTCACTGCAACCTCCGCCTCCCAGATTCAAGGGCTTCTCCTGCCTCAGCCTCCTGAGTAGCTGGGAATCCAGGCATGTGCCACCACGCTTAGCTTTTTTTTTTTTTTTTGTATTTAGTTTCACCAGGTCAATTAGGCTGGTCTTGAACTCCTGACCCTCAGGTGATCCACCTGCCTCGGCCTCCCAAAGTTCTGGGATTATAGGCATGTGCCACCACGCCAGACTCCTACTATTGATATTATTAAAAACAGTATTATTTACCAAAGAATTACTTAGAGGCAAAGGCTAGACAATCTTCAGCTGCAATAGCAATAAAATGTTCAGGCAGTAGAAATATCAATCTCACTTTATAGTGTAGTTTTAAACAGTAAGAGTAGTGGTATTATTAAGCCCCACTTAGGTTGGGCAAAAGAGCCCATAGCTTATCTTCCCCATTTGTTACCATTTTCTGGTGGAAAAAAAAAAGGGCTCCTTGATAACAAAATTGTTAACTGTAAGGCATAATTTGGGTGACTGTAATTGTAAAGCATAATTTGGGGGATTTATTTGTCAGTAATAGAAGCATTGCTAATTCATATTTGAACTGTAATTCATACATGTCTAAAGGTCTACTAATTGGAAAATTACATTGAATGGTTAATGAATCCACAAGAGACCAAACTGATGCTGATGAAGCTAAACTAATTTATAATTTAAGAAGTGGTAATAGCAGCATTTGGAAATAGTGATCAAGACAACACTCATAATACAGCATGAATTGCTTGGCAACTAGACTTAGAATACTGAAGTACAGTGTTTAGCTTTATGCACAAAGAAGGTATAAAGGAAATTCGAGACACTCATCTGCTTGAATTGACAACTAGTACTTTAGGAGATCAGTATGTTGTGGTCCACACATTAAGACTCAGTTGATCTTGAGTATCATTCTCAATTTTTTTTTTTTTTAAGACGGAGTCTTGCTCTGTTGCCCAGGCTGGAGTGCAGTGGCACAATCTTGGCTCACTGCAAGCTCTGCCTCCCGGGTTCACGCCATTCTCCTGCCTCAGCCTCCCTAAGAGCTGGGACTACAGGCGCCCACTACACACCCGGCTAAATTTTGTAGTTTTAGTAGAGATAGGGTTTCACCGTGTTAGCCAGGATGGTCTCGATCTCCTGACCTTGTGATCTGCCCACCTCGGCCTCCCACAGTGCTGGGATTACAGGTGTGAGCCACTGTGCCCAGCCTCTCAATTTTTTTTTTTTTTTAAATTTTCATTCTCAGTTCTTGACATCACACTTTTAGAGGAACACAGATAAAGTACTAAGATAAAACAAAAACAGGCTGGGCGTGGTGGCTCATGCCTGTAATCTCAGAGCTTTGGGAGGCCAGGTGGGAGGACTGTTTGAGGTCAGGAGTTCAGGATCAGCCTAGGCAACATAGTGAGACACTATCTCTACAGAAATCCAAAACAAAACAAAAACTAAAACCAATGTCTAATGTATTCCTCAATGCCTACAGAGTACACAGCACATGGCATCAATTAGGTATTTAATAAATATTTGTTGATTCAAATTGCCAAAAGATTAGAAGAAAGACAGTTTGGAGGGGAGATCTGATAACTGCTTTCAAAATGCTAAAATTTATCATGTAGACACAGGATTAGGTTAATTATGCATTGCCTTTTAAAGACAGAACTTCGATAATTAAGAAGATCCTATAGGAGGCAAAATTTACTTCCAAATAGAGGCATTTTCTGAAAATTTGAGCTGCCCAACAATAAAAAGGGCTAATTAAGGAACCTTGTTTCTATAAGTATTCCATGAGGATGAATGATTACCTTTTAGGGATTAGTCATAAACAACACCTGTATACTGTAGATGCCTGGACTGTACAATTTCTAAAGTCTTTTTAAAACTTCTCTTTTAACTTCTACCAATCACCATTAATTTGTGATACTGAAATGCAGTTTGAACTTTTACCTGTATGAAGCAACTTGACAAAATGATGTTCCCACCCAACTACTCAAGGCCCCAAAATGAAAACTGCCCTTTATGTCATGTTAAAAGTTCCAAAAAATATTTATTAAGATTTAAAATTATATTGATTACTTTATAGGCTTAAGAGGCTGCAGCAAAGGAAAAATAAATTTTTGTTACAAGCATCTATAAAAGATTTGGACATGACAGAAAATATTTCATAATAAGACAATTATTACTTGCATATTCACCTGATACTGGTATGGATTTTGGGAAATTGACAAGGCTGGTCTCTGATGCATTTTGAAGCTCTCGAAGCCGAGTGAGGTACTGCTGCTGCCCCAGAGCACCATCTTCACCATCAAATGGTCTTTTCTGAGCAAGCCCTTGCTTCTGAAATGTCAACTTCAAACCACCTTCCTGTTAAATAAATACCATTATTAAGACAGAAAACTGTTTAAAAAAAAAATCTTACTGCAGGATATTAAGAGGAATTTTTTTTTTACTGAGGAAAAAAATAATTTTTTACTGAGAAAAAAAATGAAGTAAAAATCCTGAAACATCAAAGTTCATTTCTCATTCATAAATCAAATAAAAACATTTTAAATCAATTTCTATAATAACACCAAATTTTCTATCTTGAATGAAAAAAATACAAGTACTCTACACATTTTTCTGAGCAAAACAAGGTTTTACATGTGACTAGTACATTGTAACATTTTCAACTTTAGACATACATCTCTATGTACATTAGTCATATGACATTTTGGAGGACATTACCTATGTTTTAGACAGTAGGTAATAAGTTAAGCTTCAAAAATCATTAAAAAATGAAACATTACTGATAACAGGGCATGCTAAATGTTTAAAACAGAAAGTACACTGACATACCATTTAAATACTATATAAAAGAACCAAAACAATTAGAAATTGTCACACAGTTTAAGAAAGCATTTTGATTAGAACTATGTTCAGAAGCATAAGGAGAAAAGCATTATTTAATGACGATCCCTCTAGTAGAACATTCAAGTTTAATAACCTGGATATCATAAAGAAAATAATCCAAATACCAAGAAACAGGTATGTGAAGGAAGGAAGAGTAAGAGCAGGCAGCCATTTGCAGGAAAAGCATGCTGCACACCGCAATCGCAATCAGGCCCTAGGGCAATAAAAATACACATACGTCTTTGATTTTCACTGTAAACTCCTTTTCTCGTACATGCTTCTTCACCTTTGACATCTGTGTTGACTGATCATGTTCTTCTTTAACACCGGCACCTGGGGGAGTGGGTACACTGGGCTCACTGTATTCTGTAGCTGCTCCAGGGCTGTCCAGCAGTTTTGTGGTATAGAAAGAAGCCACTGTGTTAGCATCATAACTTCTTCTAGCTGAAGGCCACTTTCCTTTCAGAACTGTTTGACAAATACTGTCCAACCTGTTGATCATCACACGATCCTAGAAAAGCGTGCAACATCAAAGTATAATTTTAATAATTAGATCAGAACTTTGGAGATCAAATAGCTCAAGAGTCTTTATGGATTTAACCCTAGTTCAATATATGTGTATGTGCTATGCATACATATTCTCACATACATATATTACAATTCTGCAACAAGTTATTTGAGTACAGATTCCCTTTGGTGAAGTTCAAAAATATTATACCATAAGCAGGCATGGTGGCTCACACCTGTCTGTAATCCCAGCACTTTGGGAGGCCAAGGTGGGAGGACTGCTTGAAGCCAGGAGACTGAGACCAGCCTGGGCAGCATAGCAAAACCCCGTCTCTGCAAAAAATTAAAAAATTGTGCCACTATACTCCAGCCTGGGTGACAGAGTGAGACCGTGTATCAAAAACAAACAGACAGACAAAATATTATACCACAAAGATAGTTTTTTGTTGTTATAATTAAAAAGTAATAGAAACGCCCAATAAAAAGTTCAAACAACTTAGACGTATACAGAAGAGGAGAAAAGCCCTCCATTCTCCCATTTCCCAACCTCATTCTTAAAGGTAAGTATTCCAGCACTAGTCTAGTCACATAATGGAAGACAAATTGGTTGGGCACACTGGCTCACACCTGTAATCTCAGCACTTTGGGAGGCCGAGGTGGGCGGATCATTTGAGGACAGGAGTTCGAGACCATCCTGGCCAACATGGTGAAACCCTGTCTCTACTAAAAATACAAAAATTAGCCAGGCAGGGTGGTGGGTGCCTGTAATCTCAGCTACTTGGGAGGCTGAGGCAGGAGAATTGCATGAACCTGGGAGGTGGAGGTTGCAGTGAGCCAAGATTGTGCCACTGTAAGCCAGCTTGGGCGACAGAGCGAGACTCAAAAAAAAAAAAAAAGGAAGAAAAATTGTATTAATTCAATCTTTATTCTTCCACTGAATGTACATGTATTTAAATGAACTTTTCTTTCTAGGTCACAACTGGCAACAGTAAACTTCTTCAAGGAGACTCAGTCAAAAGCACCTATTTCATAAAGAAGCACTTTAAGATTAACTTGAAAGTAAGGATTCATTATCTTTTATTCTAAATATTTTAATGTTATGTTGAGAAGCATATACATTAAAGTAGAACTATTTACTTGATAGTAGTAATTTATACTTTTGAAGCTAACACCAAAATGTTATCCTACATTTTACACTGACCTATTTTTCCACATAGTAAGAATATCTACCATTGAAGCAATATAGAAAAATACTAAGAAATGACCTATCCCAATAAGAAATTATTTCTTTACCTTTGGCCAATATGAGGCTGCCAGCATATATCCACCTTGTAAGATGTAAGCAGACTCTGGTGTCCCATTGTTCATCTGAAAACTATCCTGAGTCTCATCCTGCGTAGTGCTCAGTGATGCGACGCTTTCTTCATCATAGGCTTTCATGTGAGTAGTACTTTCTGCTAAGAACAATTATAATCATATTTTTTAAAGACTACATAAAATAGTTTTATATAGAAAGATCTTATATAATTATTCAGAAACATCTTATAATTATAATGTGTAAACATCTTATACAAGAAAGATCTTATATAATTATTCAGAAAACGAAAATGTTAGAAGTAAAAACAAATGATAAAAAAAGGGAAGAAAATCATTTAGGATATAAAAAAAGTACCTATCATTATTAGACAGGGTCTTGCTGTGTCGCACAGCCTCGACAGAACTCCTAGACTCAAGCAATACTCCTGCCTCAGCCTCTCAAGTAGCTTGGATTACAGGTGTGCACTACGCCTGACTTCATTACTCATTATTTTGAAAACAACCTCTGATTGGTAGACTTCATCTGGATTGGCAGAACTATAAATACCTGATGAGGATACCACAAGGATCTCTTGATGAGGTGACTCCTATAACTCTTAGAATTGGGCATGTTCCTTGCGGCAACCCTGAAAGTTATGCCTATGGAGTTGTTATAAGGACCCCAGCTCCTGCTCATGTTTAATTGGGCTCATTTTCTTGTCCCTGAACTGGTGGACTGCTGCAACGGCTCCTGCAGAAGGGGACCACCAAACATTGTTCTGCTGACAAGCATTTGTCATGGCTGACAAATGGCTTATGATATTCTAATTGGTCTAAGACTCTTGGTGACTGCTATATAATATTATCTTTTACTTGTTCACTAATCAACTTGTTCCTGGGGAAAATATAATATTCAATTTAAGACAGTCACAAAGAAATAAAACTATTGTATAAAATTTCTAATTAAATTGCCTGATTACTTTGCAATGCCTTGAATATTGAATAGGGAATTTGTATCAGTAACTCTAGTTTTCTTCTCAATTGCTTTCCTAAGAAAATTTGTATATATAAAACTTAAGCAAACAGGCCAGGTGCAGTGGCTTACGCCTGTAATCCCAGCACTTTGGGAGGCTAAGGCAGGCGGATCACCTAAGGTCAGGAGTTCAAGACTGGCCTGGCCAACACAGTGAAACCCTGTCTCTACAAAAATACAAAAATTAGCTGGACATGGTGGTGGATGCCTGTAATCCTAGCTACTCAGGAGGCTGAGGCAGGAGAATTGCTTGAACCCGGGAGGCGGAGGTTGCGGTGAGCTGAGATCATGCCATTGCACTCCAGCCTAGGCGACAGAGCAAGACTCCATTTCAAAACAAAAAAAAACACCTTAGGCAAACAATTTTAAACATCCTTAAGTTACCTGAAGCAAGTTCTTTTCATTTTCACTTGAAAAGTTTTATTAGGCCGGGCCTGGTGGCTCATGCCTGTAATCCCAGCACTTTGGGAGGCTGAGGTGGGCAAATCACCTGAGGTCGGGAGTTTGAGATCAGCCTGACCAACATGGAGAAACCCAGTCTCTACTAAAAATACACATGGTGGCACATGCCTGTAATCCCAGCTACTTGGGAGGCTGAGGCAGGAGAGTCGCTTGAACCCAGGAGGTAGAGGTTGAAGTGAGCTGAGATTGCACCATTGCACTCCAGCCTGGGCAACAAGAGCGAAACTCTGTCTCAAAAAAAAAAAAAGAAAAGTTATCTTAAAAATGTAGAATTATTTTATGCATAGTACCTCGTTTTTGGGCTTCCTCTTCATCACTGTCGCTTTCTTCTGATGAAGATGAAGAGGAGGAGGAGGAGGAAGAGGTAGAGGAGGAGGATGAAGAAGATGCTGAAGAACAAGATGAAGATGAAGAAGAACTAGAGCCTGATCGAGAGTGGGAGCAAGAAGAGGAGGACGATGAGGAAGAAGATGATCTGGAAGAACAGGATGATCTCTCAGAATCTGAGTCAGAATCAGAGCTGGATTCCGATCCTCTTTTGTGGACTCTTGGTTTCTTAGAAGCTGGGTTTGGAGTTAGGGGTTCCGTTCTGGCTGCAACCATGCGTCTGTCTGTTTCATTTTTTCCACCAGATTTCTGGTCTCCAGTAGCCTGTGGTAAAACACCATTCTTTGGACTTACAGGCTCAGATTTTATTAGTGTCCTGGTTTCCACAGAAGACATAGATTCTTCTTCAGAAGACTGAGGCTCCTCTTTAAGGTTTTCACTTTTAACTTTCATCTCCTCTAGAATAATACCTTTAGCATCTAGGAGCCTAGGTAGAGAGGTAAGAGGAGAAGCAGAAAGTGCTACTTGATATTGCTGTAAAAGTGGGGTAGAAGTCCTTGAATGAGCTATCTTACTTTGACTGTAGCTCCTCTGAGCTGCCATAAATGAGAGTTCAGGATCACGAAGAATGTGATAGTCTGTTCGGCTCACCCCATGTTTGGCAGCACCAATAAGCAAATCCCTATCATGAGGGCCACATTCCCACCAGACTGGTAAATCTGGATTTGGATGACAAAGCTTTAAGCGTTCAAACAACTGTGGATGTCGAAGGGCCTGTTCCCGTACTTTCCTTAGAAGTTCAATGCGATACAAAGTCCTAGAAGCACGTTCTTCTGTGATGGGCTGGATAAAAATATTTGGATCCACCAATTCTACATATTGAAAAAAGGACAAAAATATTAATCTCAAAAATCCTCTATTTATAAATAAATCATTATAAACACATCTTTATACATTTATAACAATACCGTTTCTAAAATGTGCCTCCATGTAATATCACTGTATAGTTCCTAGAATTTCTTTTCAGTGAGAAAAAATTAAGTGAGGATTTTGAAATTCTGAAATTCCAGTGAGGAGAAAGTTTTAAAAATAAGTACTAAAAATCATGTAACATAAAACACTGGATGTTAATGTAAAACATAGGATTATTTTGGAAGTACATTAATAGAACTGGGAATTTTCTTTTAAGAAATTCCCTATGACCTATGCATTTAATAACACTTGTCTTAAAGACACAAACACTTGCTCAAACTCACTTATAAATATAAATTAGAACTGTTCAGGGTTGTCCAATCTTTTGGCTTCCCTGGACTGCATTGTAAGAAGAATTGTATTGGGCCACATATAAAATACACTAACACTAATGGTAGCTGATGAGCTTAAAAAAATTGCAAAAAAAAAAAAACCCCCAAAAACGACCTCATGATATTTTAAGAAAGTTTACAAATTTGTGTTGGGCCGCATTCAAAGCTGTCCTGGGCCATGGGCTGGACAAGCTTGTGTTAAGTGATACTCCATAAACAAATGTAAGCTGGCATATCTCAAACTGCAAAAGGGAACAGGACATTGGAATGAACTCACAGGGGCAACAAGGGCTTTCTCAAATTTCTAGGGAAACACAGCCACATCTTTCAAACACTGTACAAATTACTAGCTTGAGACAGTTTAGTTTCAACATGAGCTCATGCTACCTCCCCTTTGATAAGGTTATGCCTTTGCAAAAGTGGGTTACTGACACTTGGGAAGTACTCAAGAAATACAGGCTTGCTGAAATAATGCAGGGACCAACATAAGCAGCTCCTAATGCCAAATACGGAACAATCTGAGCAATAAATAAAAACAATACTGGATTGTAACCTATAGAGTAAGTATCCATGAATCCATACTGGTATGAATAAATAACTGATTATTAAATAGACGAGAGAGAAGGAAACATCCTTTCTTACAGCAGAATTCCACAGAAAAAACTGCTGTAGACAAGATTTAGTATCTGGAAGATACTAAAAATCAATGGGTGAAAGTTTCAGAAGAAACAAGACTTGTGAAGCTTAAGATATTTGTTAATTACAGTATTTTTACACTGGCCAAATGTGGCATAAACTACCTTAACCACACAATTAAAGTCAACATCATCAGTAATAAGACATACTGACATCACCAATCCCTTGATACTACATTCTGAGAACACATCATTTCTGTGGCACTCTTGCCAAAAATGCATGACCTCAATCCACTCATGTAAAAACATAAGACAAGCTCAAATTGAGGGATACACAGCTAAATAACTGATCAACACTTTTCAAAGGTATCAAAGTCATTAAAGATAAGGAATAGCTGAGAACCTGTTACAGACTGCAGGAAGCTAACGAGAAAGAAAAAGCAAATACACTGTAGGATCTTGGAACAAAAAAGAACATTAGTTGAAAAACTGGTAAAACTAAAATAAGTATTTAGTTTAATTAATGGCATTAATGTTAATTTCCTGTTTTGATAATTATACTATAATTACTCTGATAAAATGTTAACATTAAGAGAGGAAGGGCCGGGCACAGTGGCTCACGCCTGTAATCCCAGCACTTTGGGAGGCCGAGGCGGGTGGATCATGAGGTCAGGATGTTGAGACCATCCTGGCTAACACAGTGAAACACCGTCTCTACTAAAAAAAAAAACCAAAAAATTAGCCAGGCGTGGTGGCGGGCGCCTGTAGTCCCAGCTACTCAGGAGGCTGAGGCAGGAGAATGGCGTGAACCCGGGGCGGAGCTTGCAGTGAGCCGAGATCACACCACTGCACTCTAGCCTAGATGACAGAGCGAGACTCCGTCTCAAAAAAAAAAAGAGAGATAGGAAGGGTGAGAGATAGATGGAAACTCCTTGTACATTTTTTGCACTCTTCTGTAATTTTAAAAGTAGTTCAAAACAAAAAAACTTGGAAAAAAAATCAAGAACCATGCAAAAATCAACATGGAGCAGGAAACAAGGTGGGAAGTACACAGTCTACTTCTAAGATTTGAAAAGTTATACAGTGCCCAACCAGTGCACACATTTGATTAGTAATTATGGCTACTTAAGAAAGAAGTATTATTTTTTCTTTGAGTGTGTTTTTAAATAATTACTGGATTGTGAGGACATAAATATGTATTGAGCTGTCAGACCTAATTATTCATTAGACAGAAATGTTAGGTAATTCTTCTGGCCTTGAGTGCTGTGAAAAAAATTACTGAGACATTAAGGACACTGTAAAGTGAGGAAATTTGAGAAATGCTCTAAGTAGAACCTCAACCTCACTCACATTTTTTTTAACAAAGCATTAATATGAAATCAATTTTACATTTGATCTTAGCCAAAAGGCTAAGAGAAGCAACTGAAATTTAACATGACATAAAAGCAAAACATAATATTATTTAACATAGATCAATTATTGTCCCATTTATCTTATATTCTATTAACATGAATCATCATTTGAGATGTGAATAATGTTTTGTTTTTTTTTTCTTTTTTTGAGACAGAGGCTTGCTCTATCGCCCATGCTGGAGTAGAATGGTGCGATCTTGGCTCACTGCAACCTCCGCCTCCTGGGCTCAAGCGATTCTCATGCCTTGGCCTCCCGAACAGCTGGGATTACGGGTGCCCGCCACCACGCCCAACTAATTTTTGTATTTTTAGTATAAACAGGGTTTCACCATGTTGCCCCACCAGCCTTGACCTCCCAAAATGTAGGGATTACAGGCGTAAGCCACCATGTCTGGTCTGAGATGTGAATAATGTTATTGAACCAACAAAACAATGGGAATATCCAAGCAATGCATGTGTGCCTGCACTGGTTTATGAGGGATGTCCAGCACGCATCTCACTTGAACACTGCAGGTCTGCACTCTTCCTGCAAATGGGACCATGTTTGATTATTATAAAAGAACAGTTACCTAGAATTTTCTCTCAATTTCTATTAACATACAAATAGGTTTTTCTTATCCATTAAAAAGTCTCCAAGCCATTTTTGCATTAATCAAGCTGACATCATAAAGCCATTGCCACCTTCTAGCTTGAATGATATGTTCATTTTTTAATGCTATGATTACATGCTTATTTAGGGTGATACAGTTCTCCTGCTTCTATAATACCTATGTTAATCTTCCTTTTTTAAAAAAACCAAACTTGTGTAGCATTTTGCATCCATCAGTTGGAAGCAGGATGGAAATAAACACACTTAGATAATTCTTTTTTTTTTTTTGAGACGGAGTCTCACTCTGTCACCCAGGCTGGAGTGCAATGACGCGATCTCAGCTCACTGCAATCTCCACCTCCCAGGTTCAAGCGATTCTCCTGCCTCAGCCTCCCGAGTAGCTGGGATTACAGGTCCGTGCCACTATACCTAGCTAATTTTTTGTATCTTTAGTAGAGATGGGATTTCACCATGTTGGCCAGGATGGTCTCGACCTCCTGACCTTGTGATCCACCTGCCTTAGCCTTCCAAAGTGTTGGGATTACAGGCATGAGTCACTTGCGCTGGCCACACTGAGACAATTCTTAACAAAAGAGACATTCAAATTAACATTTGAATTATCTTTTAAACATTTGAATTTATCTTTAAAAAACAGTTAAAATGACAAGCTGTTTGTCTTCTAATATGCATTTTAAACTAAAGTAAATATGATACTTATAACAAAGGTTGGTGTTGTAGGTTTCTGGCTTGTAGACAGAGCTAAGCAAATTTTTATAGAGAGGATTTCCAGAGTGGTGGCTGTTGTGAGGCAAGTGGTATTACTTACTATTTGTGTGCTCTCCACTATAAAGCTATAGAATGGGAAGCCCAGGACCAAATGTAAGCTGAAAGCTTCTTGCGTCTCTTCAAACTGCTTGTCCACGGCCAGAGAGAAAGCCTGGTGTAGCCTGGACATACAGTGTATGAGCCAGAAAAAGGAGTTTCCTCAGGAACTGGCCATGGAGGCCTTTGATCTTCTTTGAAATGTCACTCAAAAGGAAGCTCAATTTTGACACATTGTTTTCAATGAAGCCAATCATCTCCAGCTTTTGGAGGGTTAAAAGCTGCTGAGGAGGGTATATGACTTGTCACTTGACAAGTTCTTCCAAACAAAAAAGGTAAATTTTGAAGATGGCTGCTGCAGAGCGCAGACCAATACACTGCGTGATAGCAGACCTGTCCACAAAAGCCACGTCAATCTTCACGGTGATGTTGGGAAGTAGTTGGAATCACTACATTAAAATGCCTTTTAATTTAATTTGGGTCAAGACAGTGTTGACCATGCCAATGGTGCCTGATGGCTTTCATTATGGGTGGCTGTGAGACTTTCTATCTCATCAATCAGTGAAAATGCCACAGCATCTTTATAATCAATCAAATCTTAAATCTTCTGGAACATCTTAGTTATCAGCTTGTCACTTTTGGAAAACTGCTTAGAAAAGAGGCTAGGGCTATTTATTTCAATTAATTGGCCATACTGATACCTGCTTGAAAGTTTAATAGTCAACTTCTGGGCTAATGCTTTACATAGGAATGTTTTTCCAGTTCCTGGAGGACCCTGCAGCAGCACCACCTGGTTCCAGGTGCTGAGGCTGCTGTTGACATTCTTGTCTGAAAATGGTAAGGTTGTAATCATATAATCAAGGTGTGATTTGACTTCCCACATCAGACACTAGGCTGTTCCAAAGCCCATGGGATTTGGCTGCAGGCAGAACCCTGTGATTTGCCACAATTCTATCTTCTGTCTCTTCCTCCAAATTTTCACTGCTAGGGCCATCTTCATTCTGCTGGAAGATGTGAAGTGCAATAGTGCATGCACTCAAATCAATGAGCTATGGGTCTTTAACCTTTAATTCTGTGTCAACAATAGAATCCTGCATATTCCTGGTCAGAAAGGGTTCATCAACCAGTCCACGTATAATCACCAAACACACTATTATGTTTTGTGAGTAAACTTTCTGTTCATTTATTTTAGGGACAAGGTCTGTTGCTCGAGATCAAGTGCAGTGGTGTCATCATGGGTCACTGCAGCCTCGACCTTCTGGGTCCTAGTCCTGGGTCTTGGGTCCAGGTCCTGGGTCCTGCCTTAGCCTCTCAAGTAGCTGGGACCACAGTCATGCACCACTACACGTGGCTATTTTTTTTTGTTTGTTTTTGTAGACATGGGGTCGCCCTATGTTGCCCTGGTTTGTCTCAAACTTCTGGGCTCAAGTGATCCTCCTACCTTGGCCTCCCAAAGTGCTGGGATTACAGGCGTGAGCCATTGTGCCCAGCCTGGTGAGTATCTTTCTAACACTCAGCTTTATGTCTTTTTTTTTTTTCTTTTTTGCAGTGCTGCCTCTGTACTGATGCACCTCCATGTGGACTGTCCGTGACTTGGCCACGCAGGGCAGTGCCTGCTTTGGGTTGCCCACAGCCTTCCCCATGGTGCCACTGGAAGGAGTGGGGTCCTGGCCTGAGCCTGGCCACCACCGCCTCATGCCCCTGCCTCAAATATCCTTACTCACATTTCTGAGGAAGCCCTACATTTTCAAAGATTATTTAGTAATTAGCCCTTTCCCTTTTAAAACTAGAATCAAAAGTGATAAATATATTCATATCACTATATCATTGATGGGAATTAAGAAAATTTTTTAAAAATGAGGGCCTCTTGCCAACTATAAATGACACAATATTTTGCTTTATCTGTCATTTTAAACTCATTTATGGTTTTCCAGTAGACCTGAAAACAGACTGAAATCTACTCTGAATTACCTAGTAATCAAGTGATTGGCTATTCCATTCAGTGAACTGACAAAAAAATCTGTTAGGAAATACATTTAAAACAAGTAAGGAAATCTGTTTACTATAAAACAGGAATAGCAGGCCATTGGGTTTAGCAGTCAGAAATCATACACAACAAAGAATGGAGACAATGGTTCATGACATAGCATTACTGAGAAGAACTGTTGACAGGATGAGCTATGTCTCTGGGCTTTGAAGACAATGAAATGCATCCCAGAACAATTCGTTAGTTGAGTTGCATCAACACCTCTGCTTAGTAGTCTTCTGTGAAGATGGCCCTGGGAGATCTTTTCTAGAAAATTCTTTAAAATGTTTTATGAGTGGGGGCTTCATTCCTTGTAAAATTATTTAGGTAAATAAACCCTCTAGTGCAATTCCTCTAAGATGGACTGAAAATATAGGTTAGTTCTGTTTAACAAAAGCAATCCTTTATCTTCCACCACCTCCTAATCATAAATCTATCACTAAACTCTACCTATTTTCTTAAAACTCCATGTATACCTTTATTCTCTTTAGATCACATTTTAATAGCAGGATTAAAGAATAGGGGATCTTTAAGCTAGTTTATTTACAATTCTAAAAAATTATTGACAAGTTGAATTAGATAGTATTGAAATTTCACATAAAAGAGACAAATTGGAAATTTCTGAATTTTAGTGATTTTTGCTTCTTTGACCGAAACAAGGAAAAAAAAGAAATTTTATACATACCTTCTTTGGAAGGAAGACGACAAACCCTCCGACACATGGACATGAATGCATACAAATATTTTTCCAAACTATCATCAGTTTTCTTATGTAGCCTAGCCATAGCTCTAAATTTTGTCCAATCAAACTGGCCTCTGTCAGGGTCAAAAACGACTCCAAATGTAGATACAACCCTATAAAAGTCAGCTTCTTCTCTTCTTGTCCATCTGTTTTGAGTCAGATTAAAACAAAAACCACACTGGTCACTAAAATTAATATTAATACTAAATATAATTACTATAATACAAACTTAAAACATTTCAAGTACCTAACACTATAGGATTAAATACAAGATTGCTGCCTTGTAAAACATTTTAAAATGCTAGTTAACTCATCTATCCAGCCATACGTTTTTTTAAAAAATTTACTTTTAATGGGCCGGGAGCAGTGGCTCACGCTTGTAATCCCAGCACTTTGGGAGGCTGAGGCAGGCAGATCACGAGGTCAGCAGATTGAGACCATCCTGGCTAACATGGTGAAACCCCGTATCTACTAAAAAAAATACAAAAAATTAGCCGGGCATGGTGGTCAGCGCCTGTAGTCCCAGCTACTTGGGAGGCTGAGGCAGGAGAATGGCGTGAACCCAGGAGGCGGAGCTTGCAGTGACATGAGATTACGCCACTGCACTCCAGCCTGGGCAACAGAGCGAGACTCTGTCTCAAAAAAAAAAAAAAAGAAAAACAATCACTTTTAATAGTTAAGGATGTGTGCCTGTGACACAGCCTCAGGAGGTCCTGATTACATGTGTCCCCAACGTACTTTTAAAAGTATACACTATTCCTTCAGACAATAACAGTGTTTTGCATTTTTACTATGTGAGAAAATAAGCACAGGATACAAAATCATATAAGATGACACTACCCTTCAGGAAAAAGATAAAATCAAACACATTTATAGTATAAGGTAATGGCTTATATTTGTATGAGTTAAAGAAACCAAAATTTTCAGGAGAGCACAGAAGATAGAAGGATTAGTTCAGACTTGATAATCAAGAAAGGCATCACAGAGTAAGACGCATTTCAGATGGGACAAGGCGAAGGTTAGGGAAAGCTAGGAAGAAAGCACAGAGTAAGCAAAGAGGGAGTGCTCCATATTGTAGGGGAAGGATGAGTATTCCAGATTGACAAGGATATGGCTTATATTGGGGACAAAGCCAGATAGGGTTTGGGTCAGATTATGAAATGCCCTAAATGCCTGGGTAAAAGTAATCTCTTTCAGTTGAAAGCTCCTGATGCTTTGAAATGGTAATATTATCATCATGCACCACAGATCTGCAAACCTCAGTGCATGTGTAGAACCCTGTCCTTGCTTAACTCACAGGATTGTTGTGTAAATGAGAAAAAACATATTGGAAAGACCTTTGAAAAATGCGAATGGGCCATTTTTATCATAGTGATACATTAAGAAGATTAATGTAATTATGATGTAAAAATAGTTAGCTTGGGAAACCCAAGTCATTCAATCTGCGTAATAAGAATAAAAATGGGGAAAAATGATTAATTGAAAGACTACACAGGACAAAAAATATGACAGAGTGCCCACTCCCAAGAAGATACAATTGAGAAAGACATAGAAAGGAAGAGTTGAATTTCATTACAGTATCTTTTATTATTGTGACAAACAAGTAGTTTACTTAGATGAGTTGCTATGTGAGTACAAAAAATAGAATACTGTGAGCTAGACTGGTTTAAAAAATTAATAGAAGAGGCCAGGTGCAGTGGCTCATGCCTGTAATCCCAGCACTTTGGGAGGCTGAGGCAGACGGACCACTTGAGGTCAGGAGTTCAAGACAAGCCTGGCCAACATGGTGAAACCCAGTCTCTACTAAATATACAAAAATTAGCGAGGCATAGTGATGCACACCTGTAGTCTCAGCCACTCTGGAGGCTGAGGCAGGAGAATCGCTTGAACCCCGGAGGCAGAGGCTGCAGTGAGCCACGATTGTGCCACTTTACTCCAGCCTGGGTGACGGAGGGAGACTCCGTCTCAAGAAAAAAAAAAATTATTCGAGGAAATGGGCCATATGCTGAGCTCTGAAGGATGGGCTAGGTGTGAAATAAACAGGTAGAAAGGGTGTTCCAGGTGACAGAAACAATATAGGCTAGGGTATGAAGTCAAGAATAAGTAGGGCACTCTGGCTGAGGGAAAAGAAGTGGATAAAGTTAGAAATGCATATTAAAACCAAAAATGAAGAGACCTTCAAACTTAGGCTTAAGAACTTAACACTTTTTACCTATACTAAATAAGGAGCCATCGAATATTATGATAAAACTAATATTTTAGGAAGATTAATCCCAATTCAACAGATGGAGGGAAAATTTGTAGTAGATTAAAGACGGTCACAAATGCTTTGCCACTCTTCCCATTAACAGGTAGAATCTATTTCCCTTTTCCCTAAATCTGGGCTGGCCTTGTGGCTTTTTCTGACCAACAGAGGGTGGCAAAAATGACATTTTGTAACTACTGAGACTGGGTCATAAGAAATCTGCAGCTTCTGCCTTTCTACTTGGAATAGTCCCTCTCGGGATCTGAGCTCCCAGCTGGCAGCTAGCACCAACTGTTAAGTCGTATGAGTGAGGCTACTGTGGCTCTTTGGCTCTTCTAGGTATCTCAGAAACCCAGCCAACAGCATACAATGCAGAAGCAGCACCTGAGTCAACTCACAGAATTGGGAGAAATAAAAAATTAATGCTGTTTTAAAGCATTGTGTTTTGGGGTAGTTTGTTATGCAACAATAGATACCAAAAACAGTTCATTTACAGAGTCAGTAGTATTTGAAAATTATGACTAAGATAACTAAAATCTTAAGTGTCAGACTAAATTTTAAGTATGATCAATGTGCTACAAATGAAACAACAAATGAACAATTTATCAAAAGAACAATATATCTTCCAGAGAACATCCAAGGACATGGGTAACAAGGAAGTCAGGTTATGCCAAAGATAGCTATTCTTTCCCATGTACTCTATTCAAGAAGTTAAAGCTTGTGGAATGAGAGAAGTTTGCCTGTCTTTTTAACAAGGTCGCTTGCAATATGTTCCCTTTGACTTCCAAGGATTTGCTTCTGAATAAAGGAATGTATGCTTTCCATACATTTTTATATTTCATAAAAGTCTGGATATAAAATATAAAATACGATAGAATGGAATTTAATTAACATAAACTTTTGTTCTACTGATAATTCTTTTCTTTTTTTTTTTTTTTTGAGATGGTCTCACTCTGTCACTCAGGCTGGAGTTCAGTGGTGTGGTATCAGCTCACTGCAACCTCTGTCTCCTGGGTTCAAGTGATTCTCATGCCTCAGCCTCCTAAGTAGCTGGGATTAAAGGTGCGCACCACCACACCTGGCTAATTTTTGTATTTTTAGTAGAGATGGGGTTTTGCCATGTTAGCCAGGCTGGTCTCGAACTCCTGGCCTCAAGCGATTCACCCACCTCGGCCTCCCAAAGTGCTGGGATTACAGGTGTGAGCCATGGCACCTGGCCAATGATTCGATTCATGAGTTTGCTCTACACTTTCACTTGTTTCTGCTTTTTGAGACAGTCTTGCTGTGTCACTTAGGCTGCAATGCAGTGGCACAATCACGTGTCACTGCAGCACAGACCTTCCGGGCTCAAGTGATACTCCCACTTTAGTCTCTTGAGTGGCTGGGACCACAGGCATGCGCCACCACACCTGGCTAATTTTTGCATTTTTAGTAGAGATGGGGTTTTGCCATGTTAGCCAGGCTGGTCTCGAACTCCTGGCCTCAAGCGATTCACCCACCTCGGCCTCCCAAAGTGCTGGGGTTACAGGTGTGAGCCATGGCGCCCGGCCAATGATTCGATTCATGAGTTTGCTCTACACTTTCACTTGTTTCTGCTTTTTGAGACACTCTTGCTCTGTCACTTAGGCTGCAATGCAGTGGCACAATCACGTGTCACTGCAGCACAGACCTTCCGGGCTCAAGTGATACTCCCACTTTAGTCTCTTGAGTGGCTGGGACCACAGGCATGCGCCACCACACCTGGCTAATTTTTGCATTTTTTGTAGAGATGGGGGTCTCGCTTTGTTGCCGGGGCTGGTCTGGAACTCCTGAGCTCAAGCAATCTTCCCACCTCGGCCTCCCAAAGTGCTGGGATTATAGGCATTAGCCACTGTGCCCAGTTATTTATTTATTTTTTAAATACCTCAGTGTTCCTAAACATGACAAAAAAATGATTAAAGTATGGTTAATTAACTATAAAACACAATAATCTTTGTAAATTTTACCACACTTACACATATATAAATGTGTTAGTATATGTGTGTACGTGCACAAGGTAGTTTGCTTTGACCAACATTCTATGTATGTTTTCCACAAAGCGTGATAATTGTACCCAGACAGGCTTTGGAATGGACAGCTATATTTACACACAATGCATTAAAAAATTAGTGTTATTGTCTTACCTTTGCTGTCTTTCTATCTTGGCTGCCATTTTAGGATTAAGAGTGGCTTCCTCATAAATAGGCTGCATTACACTGGTAGGCACTGAGAAAGTTGGTTGTATCTGTTGAATTTGTCTGTTTTTATTAGTACGCTGGTATGCAGTGATGAGACGCCTCAAACGTGTGGTTAAAGCTGACTGAGTAGGCCAATATACTTTATCACCCTCCATCAGTTGACCATCTATAGTTAAATAAGTAATAGTAACTAAACAGATACTGTATGAAGCTCACAAAAGTAGCAACTTTACTTTAAAAATTTTTAATTCAATCTATGTGGGAAAAAAACCACATTTCTCACAATAAAAGCTTCTTTTAACAATAGCTATAGGAAACATTACAACAAACTTTAAGAGCAGTTCAAAGTAGGTAGAATACAGTGGAATAAAGAGTTGCACAGCAAATACAACTCTTGCATGTCTAGTATATATCACACTGGCTGGCAAATATTCAAGGCTTTAACTTAAATAAACTAAAAGCCAAAGTGAATCCATGAGACACTGAATATTGCAAATGTTTCTCATGGAAGCCTTCTGTATTAAGTTTATCTCAGTTTAATTAGAATCAAAATATTTTAAGTCATTGGGAAGAAACACTTTTAAAATTCAAGATGACAACGATGTAACTTTTAAGTTTTATCCACCTAGTAAGTGTAGGCTCTAATGCTCTATTTCCAAGGTGTAATAGTATAATTATCTATACCATAATCAAGCTGTAGTCATTCATACTAAGCAAAAACTACTTTTTCTTTTTCTTTCTTTTTTTTTTTTTTTTTTTTTTAAGACGGAGTCTCACTCTGTCGCCCAGGCTGGGGTGCAGTGGCCGGATCTCAGCTCACTGCAAGCTCCACCTCCCGGGTTTATGCCATTCTCCTGCCTCAGCCTTCCGAGTAGCTGGGCCTACAGGCACCCGCCACCTCGCCCGGCTAGTTTTTTGTATTTTTTAGTAGAGACAGGGTTTCACCGTGTTAGCCAGGATGGTCTCCATCTCCTGACCTCGTGATCCGCCCGTCTCGGCCTCCCAAAGTGCTGGGATTACAGGCTTGAGCCACCGCGCCCAGCCAAAAAAACTACTTTTTCATTCCTAGTTGAACTATGGCAGGGTGAGGCACTGTTCCTCTGGGATGCTGGTGGGAGTGAGTGTACTCCTGTGACAGTGCATTTCTATCTTGATATCAGATGGAAGTAGAAGCAAGACCTGGCACAGAAAGGCTTTGTAGAAACTAGGTGATAAAGAATGACTCTTAATGTCATACAATGAAAAAGAAGTTGAATATATTATTGGATCAACACTTTAATGATGAAATCTCACATACAAGTTTATCAAGTCATAATGTCATCAAAACCTATACTCTATAAAAGCTCAGTGAGTCACTGCCTAAAGATTTTATAACTAAAAGTACTGTTAAATTCCCAGTCAACTAGTATGTCCTATAATGATTACAACTGCAGTCAATAAAAATGTTTATATGTGAAACATTATAAAAGTGTAATAGTTTATTGATCTCATAGTATGATTAGAATATGAATTTACAATAATACTAAGTATAGAAGTAAGTGCAATTTACCTCCATCTGCTATAACAAGATCTCCTGGTGAGGAAACATCATCCTTTTAAAAGAAAACAGAAACTTGTCACAGGGTAATTGGGTCAAGAGATACATAAAAAAAGAAAAGAGAATCAAACTTCTTTGTAATAGAGAGCTGTTTTTCCCCCAATGGAATGTTAAATAATTAATTTAGCAAAAATAAAACTTTTAATTGCTTATTCTCCGTTTTCATCCTTTCACACTTCTCTATTGCTTTTGACAATTAGACAATTATTTACTAAAAGTATTTCCTTTTCTATGATTACTGTTAAGCTAGTTTCTTTTCCTCCAACCTTCCTCTGTGAGTATGCCCTAGGTTTTATTGCTAAGTGTGTTTTTTTCCCCTTTCTTATACCAACTGTTAGATAACTTACTCATTTTCATATCTGGTTATTAGGTAAGCTACAAATCTTTTCCTTTTCAGCCTTAAGCAGTTTGCTTGTGCTGTAGATACAGTTTTTGTCAACAAAGCATCTTTAATTAGCTATTCCAGTATTACCTTATATTCATAACTTTAGCAATTTTATATCAATGACTACTAGTTTCTATTGTTGTTTTAAAAAAGCCTGAAGTTTAGAATCATAATTCCCTTGTAGGTTTCTCTTTTCCTCTGGTTGCTTTTAATATCTTCTCTTTGTTTGGTATATCTTCAATTTCACTGTTATGTTTCTTGGAATGGACTTAGTTTTATTTATCCTGCTAAGACTTACTGTATTTCTTGAAACTGAGGAGTCATGTATTCATAACATCTGAAAAATTCTCAGCTGCTATGGTGCTTCTTATTCTCTTTAGTCTCTCCTTCTGGAATACCTATTCGATACATGCCAGACGTTATCATGCTATCCTCCTTGTTTCTAAATTTTTTAATACATATTCCACTGTGTTGGTTATTGATTTCAGTCTCTTTGCTCCAAATTTATTGCCTTTCATATTTTTCTTTTTTCTCTTTTTTTTTTTTTTTTCTGAGACAGGGTCTCACTCTGTTGTCCAGGCTGGAGTGCAGTGGCATGAACACACCTCACTGCAGCCTCAACCTTTCGGGCTCAAGCGATCCTCCTGCTTCAGCCTCCTGAGTAGTTGGGACTACAAGCAAGTGTTATCTTTTTTATTTTTTGCAGGGAAGCAGTCTCACTATGTTGCCCAGGCTGGCCCTGAACTTCTGGGCTTAAGCAATCTCTGTTCCTTGGCCTCCCCAAAGTGCTGGATTACAGGAGTGAGCCACTGCATCCAGCTCCTCTCATACTTTTTTTTTTAACCTGCTCGAAGAAAATGGTTAAATAGCTCTTTAAATAGTTTTTCCTCTGTCAGTCAGCATGATATAAAGCTTTGTTAGTAAAGCAAACTGGAGAGACACTGTAGGAGGAAAAGGGTTTTCCGTCCTAATTCTGGTGAGCACTTCCATTGCTTAGTTCCCATAGCAAGGCCACTTCCCCAATGCCCAGCCCCCACAATTTGAGCAGTTTCTTTTCTCTGAGACAGGTCTCCCTCTATCACCCAAGAGTGCAGTGGCATAATCTCGGCTCACTGCAACCTCTGCCTCCTGGATTCAAGTGATTCTCCTGCCTCAGCCTCCCAAGTGACTGGGATTACAGGCGCACGCCACCACACCTGGCTAAGTTTTGTATATTTAGTAGAGATGGGGTTTCACCATGTTGGCCAGGCTGGTCTTGAACTCCTGACCTCAAATGATCCACCCACCTTGGCCTCCCAAAGTGCTGGGATTACAGGCATGAGCCACTGTGCCTGGTCAATTGGAGCAGTTTCTTTAGCACCCTTAGCAGCTTTTCCCAGCAACCTCCCTCTTGAGTGGTATTGTGAGCAGAGTGCTTCCAGTGAGACACTTTCCCAGGAAAATCTTCCTTGGCAACCTTACAGGGCAGATTTACAGGCAGTTTCAAAGCGTAGCTTTTTGGCAACTTTTCTGCCATCCAGTGAGACATGGCCATATCCTCCTACCAAAGTCTGGATCTTGGCCCTGATAGGGATGGGACTCTTCCTTGGGAGCTTTATCTGAGTCCTAGGAGTGGTAGATGCTGCTTTTATATGCTATTCCTATATTCTTTAGTCTTTACTTTTTACTAATCTATCACTGTATTATTATAATTCTTTGGTTATCTCTCCTGATTGGTCCAGACAAATCCATTATGCTATACTGGATAATTTCTTCACATCTGTTTTCCAAATCATTTCTCCCTTCATGAACTGTGTCTAATCTGCTTTTCCAGGAGAATGTTTAATCTGTTTGTTGAGTTTTACATATCAATAAATGTATTTTCCACGTTTTTCTTTCTCTCTCTTTTTTAAGAGATGGGGTCCCATTATATTGCTCAGGTTGGTCTTGAACTCCTGGACTCAAGTGATCCTCCCGCCTTGCCCTCCAAAGTGCTGGGATTACAGGCATAAGCCACATTGCACTCAGCCTTTTCCCACTTTTAAAGTTAAATATCATCTTTTTCACATCTTCCTAGTGTTTTAAAATCATATCTTGTCTTTTGTTCTTGGTTCTTTCTTTAATGTCTTTAATCATTTAAAAATTTACTTTAAAAATTTTCAATAGGATTTTTTTTTTAAATTTCAATAGATATATCAGAAGTTCTCAGGGGTCTAAACTTATTCTTTATTGCATGCTAACATTCACTCATGGTAAATGGTTTCTCAATTATTTTTAAACTTGGGGTTTTTACTTCATTTTATGGAGCGCTTCATCTTTGGGACTCTTGCATAGTCTGGGTTGAACTGTTTCTTCCAGGTGCTTTTTGTTTTTACCTGGCACCCTAGATATATTACCAGTCAAGGACTGATCCTTTTTTATATTATACTGAGGGCTCTTGGACCACACAGATAAAGTAAAAGACAAACCATGAACTCAAGAGAAGGTGGGTCTACGGTTACAAATTCTCAAGGGAAACAATAATTTTCTTACCCAAAGTCCATGATGAGATAAATTTCCTTGTTATTTCTCTGTGCTGTTAGTCAGTAATTACTGGCCTTTGAGACTCCTGACCTTATACAGGATTTCGGTTCTCATTGTCCACACACTGAAGCAAGCCTTGTCTCGTGCCCTCATCAAAGCCCCTTAGCTACCAAGTCCAGCAAATCCTACCTGATAGTTTTAGCGTCATTTAGCCTTCTACCACATTCTCATCAATATTAGACATTCTTTGTCTCTTTTAACATCCTTTTTCCCACTCTACAGATTATTTTCTGTACTTTCATCTTCTTCTTTCTTTTGACATTCTACAAACAGAGTACTGAGAACTATGCTTTGGCTACTCAAAAGTCCTTGATGCTCTACCCTCTATCTCAAAACTCTTCATGTAGGTATAGTTTCTAACTCTTGCAGTATATATTTAGTATCTAGTTCTCACTCTCCTTTGGGATTTTGCTCTTGGACACTGTGTTTCTCAGCTCTAAGAAGCAGAGCAGGTGGGCAAGCCCCATTCCATCCACATGTCCAAGCCAGTCCCCATCTTGTCTAGAAGGGGAGATCAGGTGAATTCTGAGTGATTTGGGATGTTTGTCAACCCCAGTTGATCACTTACTTAGCTAATCTGAGGAACAGAAGAATTATGTATAACAAAAACAAAAAATAATACAAAAGAAAAAGCAAACACAAGAAACCAAAGAATATCTAAAATTGAGGATTTAAAAATATAATCCAATGCATACCTCTATATCATCTTTAAAGATGGCTGGGGCAGGTTTGTATTCTGGATCTTCCACATCCCTGTTAAAATACAAACAAATGCTGTAATTACTGTAATGGACTTAAGAGTTCACTTGATAGGACAAACAAAGTCTTGTTGGAGGGTTTTAGTTTGTTTTAAAGGTCAGACTGACATCTCTTCTCTAGCCAGAAGACTCCAAGACACAGCAGGAAGGCTGTTATATAGCAAATAGGGAGAAAGCTAGCTCTAATGTACCCTTACTCACAAGTTCACTTTTATTTTTATTTTTTTGAGACGGAGTTTCGCTCTTGTCGCCCAGGCTGGAGTGCGGTGGCACCTCTCAGCTTACTGCAACCTCCACCTCCCGGGTTCAAGAGATTCTCGTGTCTCAGCCTCCCGAGTAGCTGGGACTACCAGTGCACATCACCATACCTGGCTAATTTTGTATCTTTAGTAGAGGCGGGGTTTCACCATGTTGGCCAGGCTGGTCTCGAACTCCTGACCTCAAGTGATCCACCTGCCTTGGCCTCCCAAAGTGCTGGGATTACAGGCGTGAGCAAGTGCACCCGGCCACAAGTTCGCTTTTAAATGTGTTTTTATTAACCTCAACATGCATCCTACTTTTCTCTTTGGGTAAGAAAAGACAGATTACATAAGGCCTTAAAACAGGTACAGCCTTTCGTATGTGTGGGTTTCATATCTATAAATTCAACCAATTGCAGGTTGAAAACACGCGAAAAAAGCTGGTCATGATGGCTCACACCTATAACCTCAGCACTCTGGGAAGCCAAGGCTAAGGTGGGAGATCACTTGAGCCCAGCAGTTGAAGACCAGCATGGGCAACACAGGGAGACTTCATCTTTAAAAAAATAAAATGGAAGAAAATTAGCTGGGCATGATGGCATGTGCCTGTGGTCCCACTCAGGAGACTACGTGGGAAGATCACTAGAGCCCGGGAGGTCAAGGCTGCAGTGACACATCATTGTGCCATTGCATTCCAGCCTGGATGACAGAGTAAGACCCTGTCTCAAGAAAATATTTGGAAAAATATGGCATCTGTACTGAACATGTACAGACTTTTCTTGTCATTATTCCTTCAACAATTTAGTACAGCAACAATTTACATAGCATATAGCATATATACTGTACTAGGAATTATAAGTAATCTAAAGATAGTTTAAAGCATACAGGAGAATGTGCACAGGTTAAATGCAAATCCTATGCAATTTTATATATAGGACTAGCATCCTTGGATTTTGGTATCTGCAGGGTGTCCTGGATACCAAAATCCCCCATGGATATTGAGGGATGACTATGTAATAAACGTCATCATGTGTCTCTTCAACTATAACATTCTTGCCTTTTTCTCCCCTCTATGCCCCTAGAAGTTTATGAACTCAGTGGCCATGATATACCTATTAAAATGAAAAAAATGAAAAACTCATCTAAAGAATGGGTGTGGTGCATGGCCAACCTCTTCCTCGATCACATTCTGTTAGGTAAGTGCTAACCTATTAGTGTATCTTTAGCTCTTTCAGATTGTAAACTCCAATTCCCTTACTGCTACATCATTTAAAGATAAATAGTGTGACACAGAATATGCTGATATTGAATAGAGACATATAGAAAATTCATGACTCTGAAACACACATACCCATCCATATAATCATTCGCTCTCTGTTCAGCAGCAACTGCTTTGTCATCAGGTTTTCCCACTCTTTCCAAGAAGCATAATGCTGGGTCTGCTCGAATAGTGTTATATTTTTCATATCCTGAAAACATCACCAATTACAAAAGTAAAAAAAGATAAAAAGAAGAAAGGTGTATACATATAAGCATTCCTCATTATTTACAGTGGATGATATTTCTGGACTAAAGGGATATTAAAATAAGTTAAGTATGTTTTCCAGAAATTATCACAAACATTAAATGATCTGGTAATAGATATCTACTAAATTAAAATTTCAGTTACATTTATCAGTTAATATGAAAAATAGGATAAACTGTATTATACACACACACAAACACACAAACATATCTCACATAAGAACTCTTCCTGAGAGAGGAAGTTGTCTTAGATTTACATCCAGGAAGGGTAGGTTACACACGCCACCCTCCCAGGAGGAAATGTGGTGACTGACATAGTCTGGTAGTGTATGCTTTTAATTCTGTATATATAACATAGGTGTTACTGGAATAAAGCTGTTTAAGTGAAAATCAATGAACTGAGAACTGACAGAATTGCCTTATACATGGAAAGGGATACCACCTACCTTACTTCTTACTTACCATGTTTAAAAACTCCGATAAGGAGTGACTTATCAGCATCAAAATCCCACCACTCAGCAGGAACTTCTGAGTGGTCTGGTTCTGGTACCCAAACATCAATGTCACTGTAAGAAAATCATAATATGGCATTATGAATTACTATAAATGAGTCAAAAAGGAGGTAAAATTTTACCTAGCTTTTAAAGCATTGTGGCTTTCAAGAGAGAGCTTAGGATTTCATTATTTTTTAATCATTCATAATTGCCACCAATTAAAATTACAAAATTGTGCAATAACAAAGATACCATAAAATAAACGAATATTGTTAAGCCCAAGAGAAGAAATAAGTTTCAACAATGCTTACTAAACAATTTTCTTAAATTATCATATCCTTTCACTGATTTTCTTTATTTAGAGACAAAAGGTTCTATTGGAAGTAGAGACTATGTCAGCCAACAACTTGGCAATAATCACCTGGTTCAATTATTTCATTTCGCACGTGAGAAAACTGAGGCCCTAAAAGGGTAAATGAACTGCTTTAGGCTGCAGAGCAAGTAATGTCTCCTCTAGACCACTACTGCTAAGAAAACCATGCTGAAAATGCCCTGTAATAGCAAATTTTTGATTCATAATTTGATTGAAACACTCAAGTGTAGGCCAAGCGCAGTGGCTCATGTCTGTAATACCAACACTTTAGGAGGCAGAGGCGGGTAGATCACTTGAGCCCAGGAGTTCAAGACCAGCCTGGGCAATGTGGCAAAACCCCATCTCCACTAAAAATACAAAAAATTAGCTGGGTGTGGTGGCGCACACCTGTAGTCCCAGCTACTTGGGAGGCTGAGATGGGAAAATCTCCAGAGCCTGGGAAGTTGGGGTTACAACAAACCAAGATCATGTTGCTGCACTCCAGCCTGGGCCATGGGAGTGAGACTTTGTCTCAAAAAACAAAAAACACTCAAATGCTGTTTTGATGTTGTAAATAAATAATACAACGCCATAAAATCACAAGACTATTAAAAAGTAAAATAATAAACCCATAATGATTTGATTTGGTAGATTGGTTGTTTTTATGAGTAACAACCACAGAACTGGCAATTTTGCAAATATAATTTTCTTATTCTTCGCTCATCACTTGAAATTATTATTTTCCCAGAAAGCTTCAGCAAGTTATATATATAACATGTCTAAAAACATGTCATCTATAGAAGGACGGAAATGTTCACTTCTTTACCACAGTGATTCAAGTCATTGTCTTCTTTAGCATAGAATACAGTTAACATCTGACAATGATTAACAAGTATCAATTTATATACACACAAATATATATTTGTATATATACATACACAAATCTGTGTATATATACACACAGACACACACACACACACATTTGCTTGTATTTGACAATGGATAGAGACTGAACAGGATAAATTACTACAAAAAGTTGAATAGTCGAGAACTTCTCTATTTGGTATTCATAAATTACCAATTTTCAAATAACCAGAGATATAAAACAATATAAATTATACAAAGTAGAATTTCATCTGTCTTAACAAAGACCTATAAGAAATGGGGAATTTCCTATTTCTATGGGAAAAGTTAGATTCTAAGTTGGCTGTCTTTGGAAACTCAAATTTTTATATAAAAATAAACGAACAAATGATCAACATGTTCCTAGGACAAGAACCCAATGTGTAATCAAAATATAGGTGAGATAGAAGACACTAGCAGTGAAAAGGAAATGCTTACAAATTTTATAAAAAAAAGGAAACAAATTTACTTATTTTTCACAAATGTTTTACTAGAATTTTTAACTCAAGAAATATAAGGAAGTGGATGAAGAGATCTTTCTATAGATTCTTAAAGGAATTTGTCAGCACTCGAAATGAACACCTTATTATATCTAATTTTGCTTTAAAACAAAAGGGTCACAATTGACTTCAGTTTAGAAAAATAGAGAAAAAGGAAGAATGATTTTCTTGTGATATGGAAAAAGTTAAAAAGAAACGAGAAATACGGTTAAAAGAGATACTTATTTTTGAACAAGTTATTAAGTAGGATTAAACAAAGCATTAGCCCTGAAATATGAAGGAAAGAGGAAAGAACACTGGAAACAGAATCCCAGAGGAGAAAAAAAGTGGATCAGATAGCTCCCTTTGCTAACCATCAGGTGGCACTCTAAGCTCAAAACATTGTGATTACCATCTGAGGTGGAAGGTTTTCCTGCTTGTAAAGAGAAGGCAATCAGTATATAAAACTCATGGTTCAAATTTAAGTGCCGCATGCACATTAGGTATTGTTGATTTCTGTTTTTAAAGACTAACTTGTGTCATCTCTTGCATAAAGTTTCCTTTAACTTCCCCAGGGTAGATCATTCACTCAAAATATATTTAAACAGCATTCACTACATGCCAATAATGGCAATAATAAAGATAGTCATGCACATGCCCTTGTAAAGAGGGACATGCAATATTGTGTGATGAGTGCTGTGGCAGGGTACTCTGGTTATGTGCCTAACTCAGATTTAAGAGGTCATAAAAGGCTGACTCAATGTTGGCTGAGCAGGAAGAGGGAGAGAATGGAAAAAAGGAGGAAAGAATGTTATAACAAGAATGCAAAGACCTGGAGAGAAGAGTAATTAATCATGGCACATTGGAGAAATATGGATCTAAAATTCAGAAGAGAGACATGGGCTACAGATAGGGATTTAGAAGACATAAGCATAGAAACAAAAATTGAAGCCACAAAGATGAGAACACCCAAGAAGAGTAAGTGACAAGAAGAGAAGGCCTATGTGAAGATTCCTTGAACTCTAAGAGACAGATAGAAAACGAGCCTGAAAAGCAGCAAGCAGAAAGGTAAAAAGAAAAACCACAGGAGAATGGTACCATGGAAGCATTTTAAAAAGAAGGAAGTGGTCAACAAAGGTAAAGTAAGGTAAGCACTATGGTATATCCATTAAATTTGGCGGCAAGAATATCAGTGAACATCTGAAGTGAAGAGGTAGAAGCTGCATTGTGGTAGATTGCACAGTGAATGGGAGGGAAGAAAAAGATAACGAACACCGATGCTTCTTTCTTTTCTTTCTTTTTTTTTTTTTTTGGAGACAGTGTCTCATTCTGTCACCCAGGCTGGTGTGCAGTGGTGCAATCACAGCTCACTGCAGCCTTGACCTCTCTAGGCTTATGTGATCCTTCCAGCTCTGCCTCCAGAGTAGCTGGGACTACAGGCATACACCACCACAACCAGTCAATTTTTCTACTTTTTGTAGAAACAGGGTTTCGTCATGTTGCCGAGGCTCATCTCAAACTCCCAGGCTCAAATGATCCACTTGCCACGGCCTTCTTAAGTGTTGGGATTACAGGACTGGTCACTGTGAACCCCCTAAAACAAGTTCGGCGGTCAAATCAAGAGAGTAATAATATGGTAGTTTGAAGATATTTTGGGTCCAAAAGCATTAAGTGTTGTGTGCACACACGTGTGTATGTGTAAGTTAAGGTGAGGGAGATGTAAACATGTTAAAATCCAAATGAGGAGGAAAAGGGGGGAAACTAATGAAAGAGGAAAAAGAAGGTACAATCCACAGAGAGCAGTCCCTGGGAAAGTTACAAGTGGATCAGATCCAGTCAGGCTAAGGGAAAGAAGCCAATTAGTTGACAAATATTTACTGAGTGTTTACGATGTCCCAGATTCCATACTTACCTTTAAGCAGCTTAAATTATAATAAAAGACATACAAATAAATTAACGTAATTTTTAAGTAGTAGTAGGCATTATAAATGAAATAAAAGAAGGTTAAATAGTAGTGAATGACTGGTGGGCTACTTAAGCTGAGATTGGCAGGGAAGGTCTATCTAAGAAGGAAATACTTGAGTTGAGATCCAAATAATTTGAAGGGGCGGTTCTGTGGAAGACCTGGGGAAAGAATATTTGGATCAGGAAGAACAGCATAGAATGAACTTGACAGGTTGGCAAAACACAACCACCACTGTGGCTGGAGCATGGTCGGTGAGAGACACAGTGAAGAAAGTGGGTACAGAGTTATGGAAGCACTTGTAAGTCATATGGAATTTGAATTTTACTCTAAGAGAAATTAGAAACATCTGGAGGGTGTTAAGGAGTGCCAAGACCTGATTTTTGCTTTAGAAATACCACTCTGGCTGCTGTGTGAAGGACAGGCCTAGAGAGGCAAAAGTGGAGGCAAACAGACCAGTTTTATGAGGCCACTGCAAAAGTCTAACTGTGAGATCATGGTGGCTTGGACTAGGGATTTGGCAGAGGAGATAGTGAAAGGTACTGAGATTTGGCATGTATTTTGTCAAGCTAACAGGGAAGAGAGGAATCAAGAATAACAACAGAGCAGTGGGTTGTACATTTACTAGGATGGAGAAGACTTGTACATGGGAAGGAAAACAGAAAGGACTGAAGACAGGAGATTTGGAAAAGCCAGGGGAAGTAAGATGTTAATTAGTCATTTAAGTGGAAATGTTGGGAGGCAGTTGACTGATGGCTTAAAACTCAAGAAAGAGGTCTGGGAGAAATATGTAAATTTCAGATTTACCTGTTTATAGATCATATTGGGTATGATGAAGCTGCATGAGTTCACCTAAGGAAAAAGGTAAGAGAGCTGAGGACAGAGCTCTTGGTCAATCCAGTATTTAGAGATCTGTTAGAGAAATAAGAGCTAGCAAGAGGGAATGAAAAGGAAACAGTAGTGAGAAAAAGGACAACCAGATGGGTATAGTTAACACAAATGCCCACAGAAGACAGCATCTTATGGAGGACAGAGAGTAAATTTAGAGAGTTGATCACACTGTAGGTCATTAGGGGCTGTGTTAAGAACCATTTTAGTGAGACAGTGAAGAAGGAAGATCCATTGGAATGGGTTAAAGAGAAAATGCAAGATAAAGAAGCAGAGATAGTAAATACAGGCAACCTTTTTTGTTGTCTGAATCTTTGCTCTGCCATTTTTATCTGGGTAACCTTAGACAAATTTCTTTTTTTAAAAAAATTCTGTATTTCCATAGGTTTTTGTAGAACAGGTGGTATCTGGTTACATAAGTTCTTTAGTGGTGATTCGTGGGATTTTGGTGCACTCATCTCCCGAGCAGTATACACTGCACCCAATT